TAAATTGCATACCAGGATTTTGACTTCTTATGCCTCAAATCCATTCATATGCCTTGAATTTTTCCGGACCCTTCTGATCATGTAAAAATTTTAGTCTTCTTCTTTTAGAATAGACCATGTATGTACTGTTTTAAGTCTAATTAAAAGTAATTTGTGTTTATTCATTCAGAAATTGCATAGATAAAGACACAATAATGCAATATTTAAATTTTTTATTTATTTCAGATGAATCCCGACTCTGAATTATTCTTTTCAACTAAAACATGTGGAGGAGGTATACATACTTTGCAGAGAAAAGCAGTGAATGGTATAAGTGAATATCTGGTAGCTTTCATCCCTGGTATTATGAACTATGGAAAAATTTTAAATGCTCGAATACCTATTTTTAAATTTGAGCAAAAAATTCTTGGATTAAAGTGCGATATTTCAGTAAATAATATGTAAGTTTTATTGTGTGTTTCTTATCATGGCTATGTTAAACTTAATTGATAACTGACATTATTTTCTCTTCAGACTAATCATTATGTATCGGATTTTCAGTTCTTTAGCGGTATTAGAAAAAATACTTATTATCCCATCAGTCATGAAAGTTGGTAGAGTTCTTGCAAAGGCACACCAATCATTCTTATGAAGTTCTGAAGGACCTGCCATCTTTTTATGTAATAAATCATCAATATTCGATATGCTTTTTACAAACAGTCTTTGATTTCTATTATTTTGTTAGGCCTTCTGATTTTACTGAAAGTTCTGTTTAGAACATTTAAGTACAAACTTCCCTCAGGTAGCTGTTCCAGTTTATTCCCATTTTGTTGGCCATATATTTCTGACCATATCATATCCATTAATACACATTTTTTTTTATTGTGGAATCCCATAACTTAATAATCCACTCCTTGTTATTTTGTGGAAGGCAGATCCCAAGTTTTAATCTTTTCCCCCTCAAAATACAGGGAAAAATACAACGATAATAGTTACCATAATTTCCGGAAGAAAGGCCGCATCAGCGTAAACACCGCACTCGAGAAAATGGCGGAAAAAATGACAATTACCAAAAGCGCATCCGGAACCGCAGTAGATTGAATTACGCGGACATCGTCATGGGCGTATAGAGCAAAATCTCACCTAGGTCTTGAATATGACATTAGCGTTAAGAAAATGAGGAAATAAATCATAACTCAAAAATAAATTAAGGTAGAATGTGAAAATAATTGGGGTCACGAAAGACTGATATATCCCCACTAAAGAAGTCATATTGTAACCTCAGACTAATTAAAAAATGTTGAACAGAACTATTAATTGGATCAAAAGGAAATTTAATTTTCTACAAAAGGATTACAGCCAAACTATACATCATAGAAGCATCAAAAGCTTTTTTTCCGTTCGATTAAAAAGATTAGTACATCCTATCTAAGTCAAGTCTTCCAGACCTTCACATTCATCTCTTGGTTACAGTCTCTTTATCTAAAGATATAATTTCAGCTTCTTTGAATCTGCTATTATTAACAATGTTTTTACCAATTTCCACGCACTTCCTACCCACTTGCAACTTCTTCATAAGAGCTCTACGCATTTTGCCGCTTTTTGTATACGTATGCATCCTTCACTCATCCAACACTCCCACACTTTCGGACTTCAGTTTGAAAGATTTATTACTGACAAATCTAATTGGTTGTAAGATTTTTGTTAAACCACCAGGAATTATTGCTACGGCGGAGACAATTTTTGACATCTGGTTTTCACTGAAAATGCGCACACATGGAATCCATCATCAATATCCCTTTCGGTTGGGAAAAAAGATCCATACGATACTGCCAAACTTTTTGTAGCCACTCATGCATGATTGTTTGCAATCCAGCCGTTCTCGTTTGCAAATAATTACGTCATTAGGAAAATCTCCCTTGGAATAGTTTTGTTTAAAAATGATATAGGCTTTAGCTTGTCGTTTGCGGCAAGCTAACACACAGTAAATTTCTTCATGCCCGTCGTAAGCACAGATACAGTTTTGCACCATTTCATTAACAGTTCTGTTTGCAGGAGATCGAAGCTAACAGCGTTCATCCATATTTATTATCTGTGACCGAAGAAGTTTTTTTTTGTCAAATATCTGTCACATATTTTAAAAAGATGCCTTTTTATCCTGCCAGTCCATTGGTAATTGTGCCCAACTGTTGTTCTAGTAAGCACAGAAATATTTTTTCTTTTCATAATCTGCTACACCAGCAAGGCCCCTTTGAAATCATTTATGTTCATTTCTTTGCTAAATTTGCTTGGTAAGCGAATTTTTCAGTCGAAATTGCATTCCTTTTTTTTCGTTGTCCTTTATCCAGTTTGCAAGGTCGTCCTCTAGATTCAGCCACCTTACAGCCACTCTTTTGGCTCGTTCTGGGGCATTTTTAAGTTTTTTTTTCAGTCTCCAACGTCGAAACATCTCTCGTCCACTTCAAACTCTCGAGCTGCTGATTTCCAATTTGTTCAGCACGTGAAATTACATTAAGCTTCAGTATAGCTTCGTTGCCATTTGTGCCATTTTAAAAATTTTCGCTCTAAAAACTATCAACAATACTTGTTTAAAGTTAAAAAATGTCCAACAGTTAAGAAAAACTACCAACAACTGTACCCAAACTGATGGTAGCTGATCTGGCAGAATGCCAGAAAATCGATTCATGCTGAAGGGGAAATATGTCAGAGTTCGTTATTGCGAGGCAGGGAGTCGTGTCCCCTTTGAAAAAAAATTTCAGAAAAGGCAGGGGTAAGAGAGGATGGTTCCTGAAAGATTCATCGAATGGCAGAGGAGAGATACTATTCAAAATGATGAGAATGGCTTTCAAAGGGGGAAGAATGTTATTGTTCTGAGATCCCATTTGGGTGATAAGGCAAGGTCCATCAGGGAAAGAATGTAAACAAAAGACGTCACAAAAAGCAACTAGTGGTCTTTGTGTTGGAACAACTGAGGGTCAGTGGTCTTTTGTTTTGGAACAACTGAGTGGTCTATGTACAATGACAACGCCATCCAAACTATGTACAATGACAAAGTTATTCAAACTATGCACAATGACCATCAAAGGAAATATTTTATTTTTAGTGCACCTAAACGCCGCACCCGCTGAAAATTTAAGTTTTAAACATGTAAACACCGGGGCGTTTCTTCCAGAAATTACAGTAATTTATATCCTTATTCATAAAGGGAAAGAAAAAAGAAGAATGGCCATATTATCAGAATTTGCCGAACTCTGGCAAGCATTGTGCATAAACATTCTTCAGGCAACCACACTCATAACAATCTTTCTGTCAAATGGCACTGCATTCTTTTTGTTCTATTCCAACAGTTTTTATATACAAATCATGAAGTTTTCTGCCTTAAACTCAATTTTAAAATATTTGTAAAATTTGCTGGCAGTGAAAAAAAACTGTGGCAAAATTTCTGCGGGAACACAATGTTTTTTGTTATAAAATGGTTAAAGGAAACAATAATTAAATATGTGTGATATATAGCCTGCTAGCAATGCTGAAGTTCTGAGTGATGCCAAATTTATACAGTTCTCTGATGTTTTTTAAGCAAATATAGTATGCTGTGTACACGGAAAGAATAAATGATACTATTTGTTTGTGTACTTATGAGAAATAGAGATAGTTTGGGAATATTTTTCTAAAAGTCACAAAAATCACCAACTTGCACCTGATAAGTAACTTTTACCTTTTCATTTGTAAAACCTCACCAAATTGTGCCAAGGTGGTTGTGTAAGTACTTCTTCACCTTGGTTTTGTGTAAGGTCAGTTAATTAAAATTATGAATTAGACAGTTTAGTTTTTATAAAGGAAGGGTGTAAATTAAATGCTAATTCTGTTTCTTCGTCATTTTATTTTCGAACTTACAGAACCCTGACATTAAAAAAGTGTGCATCAGTGGGTATAATGTGTGACTTTATTTGGAAATAGATAAAAAATTAAGATGCATTATGAAAAATTATGTAAAGGGATTTAAGCTTTCAATGTGCTGTATCTGTAAATTGTATCTATTCATTTTCCTAAAGATTGATCTATTCCTCTAAACTTCTGCTGGAATGATTGGCATAAATTTGGTGGTATCTTTGCCAGCTTTCATGGTCAGTGTGATTTCAAAATCATATATGATATTTTACTTTTGTACTTTAATGACCTATTAAATACTTATTTAAATGGTGTTTTATGTCTAAAATGCATTTTTTTTTAAAAATCTTACATAATTTTAAATGTACATTTTTAATAATAAAACTGATAAGTAAAATGACTGTTTTTATAATTTTTTAATGGAAGTTTTTTTTTCCATTAATTTTGTTTGTCTAGCATGAATTGCATTTTTTATATGCTCAACTATCTGGAACTTTCATGTATCTGGCATTCGGCATTTTCTGAACACTCTTGATTGTTGAGCTTTTGCTGTATTTAGCTTCTTATGTCTTCATAAATATCATAATAATTCCATGTTTTATTTATTTATTTTATGAAACCTGTATTTTTTCATTAGATAGTTTCCTTTTTTATGTTATTTATTTTAGGTCTGCAGTATTAATGTCGGATATACTTTATTTTTGTGGAGAAATTGATCACAGAGTTAGGCCTTTAATACATGCTGTTAAAAAATGGGCAAAGGAAGCATGCATTACAGCAGAAAGACCTGGCTCATACATTACAAATTTCGGCTTATCGTTATTAGTGCTGTTTTTCCTTCAGAATAGGCCATCACCTATTTTGCCTCCTCTCAAAGATGCATTGTTTATTATAGGTATGTAATTTCAGTCATAAAAGTAATTTGTTTATTTGTAGTTCATTATAGCCATAAAGTATATTTATCTAGTTTGATATGTTAGGAAAACAGTTGTGTGTTTTAGTTCCTTGTTGATTGCATAATTTATTGCAACCAAAAAAATATACATGAAATAAATAGTCGTTAAGTTTAAAACATTTGCTATACAAGAACAGCCTATGCCATAATGAATAATATACTCTTTATTTACAATAAAAACAAAACTATGCAGTATTTGCATCAGTTTTTCATTACTTAATTAGCACTTTGATGAAAAGCATGATTTCTATTTTTCTGCTGTTTTCTGAAGTTTTAAATTGTTACCAGTTTGTGATTCTTAAATGTTTTGAAATAAATAAGCTAGATGAAAACTTAAGCCCCATTCACATGCAACGCTCCTTAGCACAGCTTCCGTTAGCAAGGGGAGAAAAAGGAGACATGAAAGAGTTTCGTTTTTAGGACCCGTTCAGAAGACCACCGTCTTCCTTCCGCTTTACACCTAAGCCTCTGTGAACAATCACATCTCCGAATTGGCAGATTTCTAATACTGCCAATTCAGAGACGTGTAATACTGTTTACACATTTTTAACGTTGTTTACTGTTGTTAATTTTGTAATCTGGACTTTCGCAACTGGTACCTGAACTTTCGTAATGGTTCCTGAAAAATATAGGCGTTTTAATTATTATTATTATTATTTTATAAGCTGTTATTTAGTTCACTCTTGGTGCTTGTCGCTATTTTTAAAAGATGGTCATGGATTTTTAAACTGCTTCCCGATAAGGTATAGAACTCAAACTTTGTACATACACTGCTTGTGGATGTGGTGTCACACTTCTGATTTTTAGAGGACTAAATTTTTTTTCAAATTTAAAGTTGAAACAAGTTTTTGCAAATATTAACAAATAAACTGAGAATCTCAGAATATTATAGTTTGCACCATAACACACTGTGGAGGGAAAAAAATTAAATGAAATTTTTAGCATAATTTTTTTTAAAAATATTTTGGGAGAATTTTTCAAAATCGTTCATATTTTTAGACATTTTGACGCCCATTAATTTTAAAATTTCATATCTAAAATATATCGGTTACAAACTTCCGACATTTTTACAGCTTATAAAACAAACGTTTTGCATTAAAAAATGATACAGGAAATTAATTAGATGATTTTTTTTTACTTTTTGAAAGATGTGCAATGAAGGAGAATGGGAAATATTGGTTCTTCTTGAGCATCAATTCAAAAACATCGGTTTCAAAGTAATAATCTCATTATACCACACTTTTTTATGACATTATAAATAATGTCATAACTATATAAGTTGTTATTGTTGCCAAGTTATTAGTTCAGCGCGTTAGATTGGAGATATTTCTGAGTTAACTTTCTCTTAAGATGCGTTTTGCATTCCGTTGTGTTTAACTTTTTTATTAGATTGAAGTATAACTACTGATTATACTTAGTGCTATTCTAAACACTTGTACGAGTATTTCTGTGGAAAATTCCAGAACTTTGAATGTGTTTCTATTGATAAAAGAAATTTAATTAACCTATCATCGGATTTGAGTGAAATGACAATCATTTACTAACTATTATCAATCTATTACAAACTGCACGCACGCAATAATATTATAATTAATTAAATGTATTAAAATGGTTTTGAACGTGTTTTACAAAACAGAAGACAGGTAAAGAAAAATTCTGTTTGCGTTTTATGAGTTTTGCAATTTTTCTGGGCAACATAAGGTTTTCAAAAAGTTTGTAATTTATGTTTATATTTACCAATTTAAATTAAATAAGCACTAGGTTTGATTTATATTATATATATATATATATGGTGTGTGTGTGTGTGTGTGTGTGTACTGAAATTTCAGTAATAAAATTTTAAAGATTTGAAATGATTAAATGTCTATTCAAGACAGTTTGTATTCTTTAAATCTGCAAATGCAAACTGAGAGACCTTTTGCATTCTTTTCAATAAATCCTTTTACTTAAAGTCCTAAAACATATACAGGTATGGACTAATTTTTTTATTATTTTTACTGCTTATTTAAATTATATACTTTATAGAAACAAGAATAGGTTTTGCAAAATACTGAAAGGAAAAAAATTATTTGAAATGAAAATGTGACTGAGATCATATTTGTTTTAAAAGATTTTAGATAAGAGTGTATTTTTTCCTCAGAAACTAATTCATTAATTTCAAAATCATTCCTTGAAGTTATTAGAAACACTCTAATAAATACAATAAAAAACTGGGGGGAGACATTAAAAATTGTAGGAGAAGAAAACATTTTAATTGTAAAATTTTTCTTCAAAAATTTTAAATTAAAAAATACTAGCAAAAACTTTTTTTTCAGCTTAAAATTGTTTTTGTTTCACAAAACCATTTAATAATATTCATACAAAGTAGATGAAAATGCTTTAAATTTTAAAAAAAAAAATCATTCAAAGAGACCGAGTCCCTTGTCGCGTTGAAGCCGATATGCACTTGTCTTTTCTTTGTTTTAATTTGAACGATATTTCTAGAATACCTAGCATCAGAAACCTTGTCTGTATTTGTCTATAATTGCGTATCTTGTACAGTTCATCTAATTTTGAGCGGATGCTATCACATCCCCAGACATCTATCAGCGCGATTGTTTCGCTGACAGTCCAGCAAGCAGAAACTAAAATTAAGTGAACCGCGCAGTATAGTACAGGAAATCTCCCCATTTGCCCTGCTCCCGAGAGGTAAGGAACATTCAACCAAGTTCTACCTCCAATTCAGCGAGGCAGTTAATGCTTGTCCCATGTGAACGGGACACGTTGGAAGAACCGGTTTACGCTACCGGTTGAATCTGCTCTTGTGAACGGGGCTTTAGACATTTATTGTAGTTTCAAGCAATAGCAATTTTCATATAGGTGAAAATAGTTAAAAATAATTCATCACAAGGAAGAATGCTCTAATTCATCTTCATGAAGGACTCCTAAACTTGCAGATTACTGGGAATGAAACTCTACAACTTCACAGTTGTAAGTATACAGGAGGCTAATTGCCCAGAGAGTAAAAGGCTAAGATTGAGTGGTCAACTCACTCTTTAGTGTGCAATAAAACATCATAATCTATAAGAATTAGATCTTTTAGCAGAAAACTGTGATAACTGAAGAAGTTACACTTTCACTGAATTTTGATTCCTAAAAAGCATAAAAGACTTTGGTAGCGCTGTACATTCTCTAAGAAGAAATGTTATGAATTTAGCAATTTCTAACACATTTGACATTAGTGTTGACAGGTATTCATAACTATTATTAAAGCAAACTGTGTTATTTATTCTGTTGATAATCACTTTTATAACTGTTGCAAATTAAATATTTTTTTAAAGTCAACAAATTTGTACTTATGACTGAAAATTAACTCTGTGCTGTTTTATGAAATAAGATTGTAGTAACCAGAATTTTGGTACACGTCTTTTAGCAAAGCAGCAACCAAAATATTCACAAGTGTATTAAAGACACTTTACAAACTAAACATGCAACCATGCCAGACTTTGTGATTGAATATGTTTTGATCTAGATCAGGGACTCTCAGCCTTTTTCCTGCATTGACCCCTTTTAAAAGAATGGTTTTCTTTATTCATCCCTTGCATTCTTCTGTAGCATATACAGCATACAGTGTAATTATAATGCAAATAATTTCACATAAATAAATTTAAAATAACAATTAGATTAAAACAAAAGTTAAAAGAGCTCTTTTAAAACAAAAGTTTTTATATTTTTAAATCTACAAATATAAATAAATTTATAAAAACAAAATCAAATTCTATTTGCAAAAAATTTCAGTTTAATTAATGTGATGACTGCACTTGATATTTCAATGTAATTTTAAAAAATATTTTACATAAAATTGTATATTTTAGTTTTTAAATCACCTTGCTCAAAAGTATTCAGCCTCTTTCTTGTATTCCATAGCAAATTATTGACTCGGGGAAAGCCTACTTCTACTAGGTCAGAATGAGGAAAAAGTCAATAATGTTATTCAGCATTAACTTATATTTTGAGATATTTCTTTTAAAGGATTTTTTTAATTCCTAAACTTAGCTTAAACATGTACTTTGCTTAAGACTTGTACTTGAACATACTTCTTCAATACAATCAGCTCTTCTTTCATCATAATACTAAGATCAAATATATCACAGTTCAGTGATTCTCTGAGACATTCAGATTTTAAATGTCTTGGAAGGGAATACTAAAATCTTTTTTTAAATTTTGCATGTGGCTAGTATATAACAATATATCTTCTATGGAAGTTGTGCATTCTTTGTTATTTTTTTGGTTGTGTTTTCTTGTGTACCTGCATTGCACTTTGCCCTTTTCTCTTAGTATGGTATATTTTTTGTTAAAAAAACAGTGTCATCTTTTAACTGGTCATTTTTGGAGTAATTTGAAAGTTCTGTGTTATTACTATGAAAAGATGATATCATATGTAGAGGCTGTATGCAAGAAAAGACAACAAAGAATAGCCCACTTAGAATCACTTGAATGTTATGTGGAGTAAATAACAAAAGATATAACACTTTTGAAGGATCAGTCTAGGTTCCTTTTAATCAGCAGTGTGCTGTATCCAGGTCTGAAATAATTGCTGAACAAGAAACTATATGCAACAGATTGAGTATAGAAAATAGTCTTCCATTTTGTATTCCATGTGTTATTTATTCAAAGAACTATAAATTCTCTGAGGTACTGGCAAGAAATACTTGATCATCATGCTGAACTACATGCTAACTACATACTTATGTTCTGGGTCTTTTCCCCCCTCATGCAGATTAGTTCCTTATCTTATTAAACAGCTGTAGACATGTAGTTTTTCTGAAAAATTGGCAGAATTGGGCTATGGACTTATGAATTTCATTGTAAGACTTTAACTCATGTTGAGCAATTATGAAATTACCCAGGAAGAGAAATGCCTGCTATTTGTCCTCTACGAAGGTCTGTAAATGAATACTGACAGTATAAATAAGGAATGCTATGTGGATAATCAAACAAGTAGACTGTTTTTGTCTTTTCCTTTCTTTTAACATTTTTACCTATTCATATTTTTTTCAGTTTCCAAAAAAAAAAAAAAAAAAAAAAAAAAAACATTTGCGTTATAGCTTTTTTCTAAAGTTTGATTAATGCAATAGGTACATATACTACACTGGTTATCATAAATTAAGGAAAACTCACAAAAATAGAGATAACTCGATCAAAAATAGCCAAACCGTGTAAAATTTGAATATGTTGCCAAGTAAGAGTAGCTGAATAAAACTGCAATATGCAAATTAGTGGCTCTGCACTCGGAATACGTCATCTGCGAAGAGAATAAAAGACCATGTTTGAGAGCAAGCCCACATATTTCACTGTGACAGTGACATCAGAAATCTGAGATAGCCAATTCGTAACAATTAACCTCCAGGCATCATTTGCCTGCAGAACTGGAGAGCCATTGGGAGACTAGAGGCAGGATAAAGTCAAACAGAAGTGGCCAGATGACTAAATGTGAGTCCTTCTGTGGTTCATAGACTTTGGAGGCGATTTCAAACCACAGATTTGGCATCTAGGAGGTTCAGCCAAGGACGGCCAACTGCTGCGACAAGCGCCAATGACTCTTCTTAAATCCTCCCTTGCTGCAGCTACCGGAAGGTTTGTGTCAACGTCAACTGTGCGTAGAAGGCTTCAGGAAGGTGGTCTGTATGTGAGGCGACCAGCCATTTGTGTACCGCTCACGTCACGCTATAGGAGGGATTGTTTGCAGTAAGCGCAACATGTCCACTGGACGCCTGATTAGTGGAGGGCTCTTCTCTTTTACGGATGAGTCTAGGTTTAGTCTAGAAAGTGATGGTAGGCGTTATTTGATATGGAGAGAACCTGGAACCCATTTTCATCCGTCAAACATGCGTTAAAGAGATGCATATGGAAGAGGCAGTCTCTGTGTTTGGGGTGGCATCACTTTGGATGGACGCACAGACCTCCATGTCTTTCCAATGAAAATCATGAATGCTCCGGTTTATGGTGATGACATCCTTGATGCTTATGTGTGCCCATGTGCCGGGGCAATAGATGATGCTTTCCTGTTACTGGACTTTAATGCAAGACCACACAGGGTTCGCATCGTAAATGATTATCTTCAACAGGAAACAGTTATGTGCATGGAGTGGCGAGCTAGATCCTCGGACTTGAATCCTATTGAGCACACGTTTGGGATGCTTTAGAGAGACATCTAACTGCTCTCAATCCGCCCCCTCAGACCCTTGGCACGCTTGCAACTGCTTTGCTCGTGCTTGCAACTGCTTTGCTAGAGCAATGGCTCTCGCTTCCTATGGGACTGATAGACTGCATAATTGAAAGCATCACGCATCGCTGTATGTGCTGTATTGCTTCTAGAGGTGACCATATTCCATATTGAAGGTACTTTTCCTATAGGAAACTGACAGCTTTGATTTGTTCATTTTATACATGGGCTAATTTCTATACTACCATAATTGTCTGGTAATTTACTTTTATGTTATTTGATACCTTACTATGTGTTGTATATTGTGGATAAGTTTCATAAAATTCTACATGTAACTTTTTCAGTAATCGTGATTTTTCCTTAATTTATGATAACCAGTGTACATGCAGCTGTGGAAAACTTCTTATTCTTAATACTTTTTTGAAACAAATTATGTAAGTTTTTTCCATTAATATCTAAGGAATTATGTATGAAGGTTGATGATGAATGAGCAGCAAATATAGATATTGATTTTATGATTCAAAATTTTTTCATATTTTAGATGTAATTATCAATTTTTCCATTTTATAAAATTTTCTATATTAGATATGAAGTTAGATGCATTAAAAACGTGTTACATTAAAAAATACTTTTTTTTAATACTAGTAAGTTACTTTTTTTCATATTTTATATAGGTGAAGATCTAACTGTAGATTTTAGGATAGAGTATTTAAAACCACTTTCAGAATGGCAGACGAAAGCATCTTTAAATAAAGAATCTTTAGGTGAGTGTCCTAAGGTGAATTTTAAAACCATTTAAATTTTGCAAGAAGTTTTTTTTTTTAAATATTGTATGTAAAATGCTCTATATCCTCAAAATCCCCATGCCTGATGTCTCAAAATCACTAGTTTTTTTTTTTTTTTTTTTTTTTATGTGAAAATAGATGTTTGAGTCCTTTGCTAAAAGCAGTTTTAAGTAGTTTTGACCAATCATCCAGAATTATTCCATTCCTAAAGAATCATCCAGAATTATTCCATTCCTAAAGAATCATCCAGAATTATTCCATTCCTATCTTAACCATCCTCAAAAATTAGGTTGCATATGAGTCATCTCTGTATACAGTCTTTAAAATTATGCCTCTTAGAAAATCAAAAGACGTAATTAAAATATAATTTTACCATTTTCTTGTTTTGTTTTCTTTATGTATGTATTTATTAGTGATGTAGAATTATATTGTTGGCTGAAAGTATACTTTCACATATAACTTAATAGCATCCGTATGAAATGAGTGGAAGCCTTAAAAGCAGCAAAAGAATTTTGTGTAATTATTCTGTATCTCCTTCAGAACATTTTCATGAAAATTTTACACCTTAATAAATAAATAATAATCACCATATACTCAAATATATAATTATTTTTTGCTTTACTTTTGTTTCTAAAATTTGGTAGTGTCCTATAATTGAATATTTTGGTAATTACAGGATGAGAACAAAGATTATTCTGAATAGAGCGTAGTATAATTGTCATACTGTTATACTATAATTATGCTGTTTAAATAACCACACAGCTAATTATGATGTAAAAACTACCATTAATTATCTACATGTAAAAACTACCAACCATTTTTAGCTACCATTTTCATACCATAGTCCGAGGATCTAGCTCGCCACTCCATGGTAGTTTTTACATGGAGTTGACCATTTAAACTACCATTTTTAGCTAACCAATTTCAGTTTATGGCTGCATTCATTATTTTAGTCACTGGTATGCCTGAAAACAAGGAGGTAGCAATATGCTACTGCAAACTTTTCTATCTATGCACAGTAAATTTTTATGCATGGTAAATTTTTCTTTATGAAGTACTATATTTAATTAGTTCACCTTTCATTCTAATAAAAATCATCATATTTTTATCAGATATGTACTGTAGCAAAGTTCTTAAAAGAATTTCATTGTTTTGGTCAAATATCTGTATTTTCTATTTTAAACCATACGTCAAAACTAAAACATTTTCAAATACATCTTCAAGTGAAAAATCTTCCAAATAAATTTTATTTATTTATTTATTTTTAAGTTCTTTGTGTATTAAGGACATCTTACTTTTTCTCTGTTTGTATGAGAGCAACTTTTCCTTAACTTTTTCTCATCTAATTAACTCATTCCGAGTACTGATTGAAGCATAAAAGTAAAAGAAGCGAAATTTGTTTCGATTTAGTTTAGTAGGAAACCTATTATTGGTGTTAATTATTTTTTAATCAAGTAGATGAAAAATGCCTTTCCAGCATATATTCTGAAAATGCACTTGCATATTTTTATTTAATTTTCCTATTATGGAAATTATTTTGAGACTAACATCAAAAATATTATTTGTGCAAATACTTATAATCTTAGTGCAAAAGGAATTCTTCATAAATGAAGAAATTTATCAATAATTGTCGTTACTGGGTTACTGTTTACATATATTTAAAAATTTATTGTGAAAAAAATAAACAACATTCAATGTATGTTTGAACTTAAAAATTAGTTTAAGCTTATGTTTTATGTGTACTATGATTCCGTATGCCACTAGCTTAGGTATAAATACATATAATTTCATGATTTAAAAATCTTGACTCATATTGTCTGTTATATGATTCTTGAAAGCTTTTCGATTTTCAAGGAAATACTGAATGAAACTGAAGACACTCTTAAAGCAAAAGATAAGCAAGTGAACCCGGCTACGCCACCAGTCTTTATTTCTGGTTTCAGATGCGAGAAGCTGAAGAACCAGCTGTTTAACCCTGGGACATATCATCAAATCCCTGTTAACCGAGGGCCCACCAGCAGCCGAGCGGTAAAGACGCTGAACACTGGTAGTTCGGTCTGAGGTTTGAATCCCGCGAACGGGCTGGCTGCATGGGCGTTTTCGTGGTTTTCCCCATCTGTAATGTGTATACAAGCCAGTTTCCCTTAGAAAGTCCTCCACGAAAGGCATCCGTCCCCTTAGGCAGATAGCCCTCGTGTGCTTTGCCATAACTGAATAATCCTAATCCATCCCTGTTAACCGAGACAAATTGCCTAAAATAGTTCTGGCTACTCCATTTGGATTGTGCGAGTTCCATAAAGGCCCATTTGGTTTGCACAAAGCAGGCCAAACATTCCATAGATTTATTCATCAAGTACTTTCTGGTTTAGATTTTTCTGTTCCTTACTTTGGTGATTTGCATGTGGCATCAACAAAGAAAGATCAGCATGAGAGCCACCTCTGTTTGATTTTTGATAAATTGCAAAACTACAGGTTAAAACTGAAACCTTCAAAATGTGTTCTGCGAAAATCAACGGTATCGTTTCTTGACAAATAAATAAATTTGTCATTTTTTGTTTAATTACTCCTTTCAAATTTTTGTTTAATTACTCCTTCAGGTTTTCAGCCTCTTCCTGAAAATTTGTAATAATTTCTAACTTCTCTAAACCCACAATAATGTCTAAATTAAAGAAAGAGGTTTTGGGTAATGTTGAATTTTTATCTACAGTTTTTGTCCAAGGCAGGTACTACCCAAGCTCTACTTCATTCTCTTTTAAAAGATTCTAAGAAGAATGATAAATGTCCTGTTTCTTGGACAGTGGAAACAACTGCAACTTTTGAAAAATGTAAAACTGATCTAATAAGTTCAGTGACACTTAGAATAGAAGAGAAACACACCAATGTGACAATCAAAATTGCAATAACAACCTTGTATTTAGTGTACATACATTAAAACCATCGATTTTGAGGGTAGCTAAAGGTCCCTCCTTATTGGGAGAACGAAATTACTAGAAAGGGGAAAAAAGAAGAAAAATAAAGCATTGGCAAAGGATTCTCAGAAACACGTGGTCGTTATCAGTACTGCACATGGTTCCAGATTTCGAATCTGTTATCGGATTTCAAATCAGAGTTATACTGGCCAACTTCTTTTACTGAGCCAGGCTATCTGATCAAACATATAACACACAGACTAAAACGTAAAAAAAATTAGCAAAGTAAAAAAATAGGGAGCGAGGGGCAACTGCAACTTCACGCACCAAGTCTGAACCTCAAATAAAGCACAGTTGTTTACCATACCCCTACTCAGCAGTTGGTTTTGATGGTCAATGTCTCAGATGTGGCCATTGGAGCCACTTGCACTTACAACGCAATAATGGCCTTCATCCATTAACTTTGTTCTCCTGAAAATTGATGCGACTGGAACTAAATACAGAACATTTGATAGAGAATTACTCACTATTTACTGTGCTCTAAGATTTTTAACATAATCTTGATGAGCAAAATTTTGTAATATATACAGATCATCACCCTCTAAAATTTTTATTTAGAAAAAATGTCAGACTCTGCATCACTCAGGCAGATTAGGCATATGAATTATATTGCCCAATTCAGTAACTATAAATTAATTTCTGTACTAGAAAATATTGTAACGGATGCATAGTCTCTAATTACTGCTATTAATAAGCTAGATATAACAAGTTTTGCACAAATTTGATCTGAATCAGCTGTTGGGCACTGAAAGTAGCTCATTAAAACTATAAAAGATGGAACTGTCTCCTGGGCTAAATATGTATTTTGATGCAAGTGGTGTCAAGGTATGTCCCTTTGTTCCCAGCCATTTGTTTCATTTCATGGACACTCTCATCCAGGTATATGACTGACCAAAAGACTAATTCTTTCTTATTTTGTTTGATCTCCTGTGTCAAAGGATTGTATTGCCGAGACCTGTGTTTGCAATGACTGCCTGAAGTTATGCATCATACTCATCGTCCATTGCAGATCTTCATTGTATGTAGTCAAGGTTTTGAACATGTGCATTTGAATATAATCAGGTCCCTGCCATCCTCGGAAGGATACTCCTACCTTTTAACCACATTAACTAATTCTCCCAATGACCAGAAGCAGTGCCAGTGAAAGATATTTCGGCAGAAACTGTCTCGCAAACGTTTTTCACTCATCAGATTGCTAAGTTTAGAGTTCGCATCACCATGAGTACCGATCAGGGCTGACAATTTGAGTCCCACATGTTCACTACTCATATTAAATTTCTAGGTGTTCACTAAGCTCGGACTACTCCATACCACCCTGCAGCAAATGGGTTACTTAAGAGATTTCACAACTCAATAAAACAGGTGTTAATTTGCCATAATAATATCCAGTGGATGGTAAGTCTTCTAACTGTATTTCTCACTCTTCGATCAACTTACAAAGAAGATCTGGATGGAACCTGTTCAGAGATGATCTACAGAACTACCATTTGCCTTTCTGCAGAGTTTTTGCAACCCACTCAGGTTTCTAATTTTCCCAATTTCATTTATACAGAAATTGTGTGAGGGAATGAGAGAGAGATTTCACCAGTACCTACATCAGTTCACATTAACAATAAGTATTTCATGCACCCTGGTTTAGAGTCATGCACTCAGTGTTTATGGGCACAATAAACTGAAACCACCATTGATTTGCCCTTATGATGGTCCATTTAAAGTAATAACAAGGTTTAATACAAATTTTACACTTCTCATTAAGGAATCAATGTTTTTTGTTTCAGACACTCCATCATCAGTTTCCACTCCTGAGCAGACTCTTACAGTAAATCAGTTGGGTACTACATTTGAAATACCTGTGCTGGCCAACCAAATACCACCAGTGTAAACTAGATAGACCAGTGTATAATGGTTTTGACAAAAGGGTCTAGTTTAACCTGAAGTATTTCAGACCCTTTGTACCTCCATTACATAGAAGTGGGGAGTACTAAGGCAGAAATCCTTATTGCAGTGAGTGGCAGCATTCATTTTTGCTGTGCAATATGCATATGTATTCGATATAGCACAAAGATAAAAACTTGAACTTGTCTTCTGAGACTACTTACTTCTCATCTTATTTTGCTAGTTCATTGTCGATATCTGGCATTGGCTCGTGTATGTTAATATTTAAATATTTAGCCTCTTGAGAGATGTACTTTCCTTTTTAAAATGTTATATAAAGTTGGTTTTAACTGTTAACTGAAGCTTGTGACCTTCTAATGGAATCTAATTGCAATAAAACTTTGCCATAAAGTAAAGAAACCGTTTGTAAAAATGCAGTTAAATGTTTTATGCAAAAAGTATTGTTACATTTGTCTATGCTGTTAAATGAAAGGAAGAAATGAATACACCTTTCATCAAAATCCCTGCAGTAAGATTATCTCTGAATTTATGCTTTAAGCTTCTTCTAGTATTACATTTTGTACATATGTAATTGCATTTCTCACACTAACAGTTGTTAGAAAAGAGCTTGAATTAAAATTTTGGTTCATTAATACTAATTGCCCAATTTTGACAACAGAGAAACACCTACTAATGGTAAAACTACATTATTAATAGTCTCATGAAATTTTATTATTCTAGTATAATACAAATTCATTAAACTGAAAATATTTCAAATTTTTAATTTATGCAAATAATGTTGTGAGTTGTTCCAATGCTGAAGTCTGCCAGTGTTTTTTACAACACAAATTTTATGAGATTCTATGAATCAGATTTCATTTTCAAAAATATTTATATGAAGAAATATATTTTTCAGCAGTCTGCAGAGCAATGCTCATCCTTTGATCTATTAACATCAGAAATCTTTTTATAAACTGATGTTATATTTTTAGTTAATACAAACATTTTGCTCTTGTACAGTCCCTGAATATGATCTCCAACTTAATAAAATATCTAGGTCAATAGGGAGAATGTTAAAAAAAATTCATAATTTTTACAAAACTTTTTTTTTTTAATTTAAGAAGGTTAAAACAGTTTTGTAACTTGAAATGTATATCTATGACCAGTGGTTGTTAAAAAGGACAGATTTCAATTTTTATGGACAGGATGTCTACCCAAAAGGTTGAATTTACCTGAAATGAAAACATAGGCAGTGATTTTATGATCTGTGTTTACTATAGAACAAGACCTTTGCCGTGCATGCAAAAAATGCTAACTATAATGCAATAAGTGCTTTTCTTCCATCAATATATGCTATAAATACAATTTATAACATATTTTGATAGAGGAAATGTATTTAGGTTAAAAAGCATATTTACATATTCAAATAATAAAAATATTGCTATATTTATTTATCATACTGAGTTTTTTAAAAATAAAAGTATTGTTTGTTATTACCTGAAAATTATTGTACAGTGTCCATGGCTTAAGTGATCACAGTTTATTGGAATTTTTCTGTATTATTATGATATAATGCCATCATGGTAAATGTTCCTAATCCAGGTAACTCGAGAAAAAATTTTATCGGTATAGTATCTTAATATTTTACATAAGGGTCAGTTATCTTTGATACCAGCAGTTTTTGTTTATTGAATGAGATTTTGCAAAGTATATCTGTATCACAATCATTTTATCAGATGTAAAATAAACCATTTATCTATTGGTCTATAAAATGTGAAAATTAGGTTGATGTAATTTTCGAGTGCTGTCCCCCCTTTTTCTTACAATCTTTGCCTGATTTTAAATAATGTTTTTATTTCTTATTTATTTTAACACAGCATTTCTTCTAAAAGAATTCCTGGCCTTTTTGGGAACATATGACTTTAAGGAACATCATATATCGCTTCTGACTGGTTTAGGTAGAGAAAGAAATGATTCTGAGAGAAAGGAAGGTAATAATAATTCTTCACCTATGTGGGTGCAGTATCCTGTGGAAGAAGATAAAAATGTAACCAAAAACATCTCACTTCATGAACTCAATGATATGTGTGAAAAAGCATGGGTATCATCTAAGTACTTTTCATCAAAGATGAATTTAAAAATAAGTCATCCAAATGAATTGTCATTATGTCTTGGTGTAGAGAAATTGAAGAAATTTGGAAATTATGATTCTAAAAAATTAGATGTAAATGCATTGTATGATGACCGCACAAACGTGCGCAGAAAGGGAAGACATTTTTAATGTCTGTAAATAAATATTTTATCATTTATTGGTGGCAGTTTAATTTTTTTCTATGTATATATAGTTTTATTTATATATATTTGAATTCATTAAATAAAGCACGGCTAAGATGAAGTAATGATTAAAATTATCTATCTATAGATTTATTCACTGTTTAATTGCATTAAAAGTTTGATACATTTTTATGATCTACAAAATAGAAAAATTTCATTTAAAAACATGCTGTGTGGTAGTTACTTATATCACCACAAAGAATGCTAAAAAAGAAATTTTTTTCTTCCCCCCCCTGCATACACATAATTTTTGAAGTTTTATCTCATTATCTTTCATTATATTTTTAATATATTGAAATTATATTAATATTCTGTATTCATTTCATAAATATTAATTGCATGCCTAGTATATTGCTTTCATAGGTAAATTCTGTTAATGGCAAAAGCACAGACATAACTATTTTAGTGATGGTGTTTAAGATTACAAATTATTATCTTGTTACAAAATTCGGTCTTGAATCCTTATGCAGGTGCTGGTGCTTATATGTATGTATCTTACCTATACTAATCACTTCTAAAAATTTGGTTTTTCTAATTCATTCTCCAGCCAATAAGTTTTCATCATTCCTTTTCCCTTAAAAATAGACAATATATATATTATATACTATTTAATGAGGAAAAGAAGCTAAGAAATAATGAATAAAATCATCTTGCAATAAAAAATATGGAAACATAAAAGCTATCATGGTAATTTTTGAAATGATTAATTTATTTATTCATGCACTTTAATTTTCATGAAGACTTGAAAGAAAAATGCAAAATATAAATAAATAATGAAAAGTAAACATTTTTAAACTAAGTATGGCAAATTATTTTTTATATTTTTATTAAGTGTTTAAAACTCACTTTGACCTCGATTTCTCCTCTTGGTACTATGACAAATGTTTTAAAATCATCAAGTATTGTCTTTGCTTGATGACTAACATGAATTTTCATGGCTGTAATATAATAACAATTATGCATTTAAGTGCTTTGTTATATAGCAACAAGTCTAGGTAATTGTTTCATGTTCTCTTATTGAAAAATAAGAAGCAGCTTTTATATTATACTATTTGCATATTTTACCTTCACTTGTTGATTCCATTCTTGAAGCAGTGTTGACTGTATCACCAAATAAGCAGTATCTTGGCATTTTAAGTCCTACAATGCCTGCAACACATGGACCTAAGTAAAAAAAAAAAAAAAAAAAAAAAATATTGTATAACAGGTAAGTTTGCGTTTGATTTGATCATCATATTCAATGATTGCAGATTTAGCTATGAACAATTTTCTTAACTATTAGAGAAAAAATTTTCATGTACCATGCATCATATAAATAAGCTATTATTTTTTGCTCTTTACGTTTATGGAGAAAAAATAATTGAATAAACTTGGTATGTAGAATCTTTCTTATGATTTAATAATGATCTATTTTAAGATGCATATTATGCATCTTAGAATATGCATATAATGATAAGATTGTTTCATAATGATATTTTTTAATCTTAATCCCGTTAATCTGTGCAGGGCTTTAGTAATCTTTAAGGTATATATTAATGGTTTCTGTGCTCATAATTGCTTATAATTTCTGTGCTGTGTTTGCTCTAATGGATGATTGGAACTGCTCTAAATCGTTGTTTTTACGTGGTTTAGATACTGAATTATTCACAGCTAAAAGGGAAACTTCCTCCTTTATGAGTTTGAACTGAAACATAACACTGTGAAGACAAAAAAGCTTTTGCCATAGGACAAAGAAAAATTCCTTGAACCTTAGCACTGTAATTAGAGATGAAAAAATTTCTCCAAGGCCACAGGAATCTTGAAATTATACAAAGCCATGAACCATTGATACTTATGCCATGCACTATGCGATAGGGGCATACCCAATAACTGAAACAGGTATTATTAGGAGAATAGAAAAGAGTACAGTGGTTCATGACTTCAGTATGAAGGTTACAGAAACAGGAGTTGTCACTATATAATAATAAATAAAATAAAGCCAGATTAAATAAACCTTAAAGTGAAAACATACAATTAACTCTTAGAAAATCAGTGTCAGATGCATGTTAATAAGACTTGTTATATGAAGTGAAAAGAGGTTTATTTCCCCAGCCAGCTGTCTGAACTTTGTATCAAAATATGTATTTTGAACAGAAGTGAAACTTAGGTATCAGATGGAATTTTGGTAGGATTAAACATTACATTTGACCGTACTTTTAAGAAATGGAGAGGATGTAATGCATCTCCCTTTTATTATTTAACATTAGACACTGTCATCGTAAGATATATTCATAGTGCAAAAGATGATAATTCAGAAGCCATAAATTTTATAATTAAAGAAACATTTCTCGTATTTTATTCTGAAAAAGATATTCTTCCAAAGAACTGAAATTGAGAACTCATTCTCAATTTCTTGAATGAAAAAGGGATTTCAGTTAAATAGCGTTATGGACAAGAATATGTCAAGCGCTTGTAATCTGAGTGGTATCTGGCCTCCAGTAAAGATAAAAATTATTCAGCCAAATGCAGAATATGTACACTGCTCGGCTTACCACCTAAACCTCGTCATTAATGACGTGGTAAGTGGTGTAAAGAAATGACATCATCATTTTTTGATTTTACAAAATATATATTTTTTCTGTGGAAAAAATATGAACCACCGTTGGGATTTTCTAAAACTTTTTAAGGCTGAATCAGAATAATAAAAAAAAAAAAAAAAAAAAAAAAAACACTAAACCCGACTCGTTGATCAGGTAGGATTACCTCACTAAATGCAGTAAAATTACGTTATGATGACATTCTGAAAGTTTTAACAAAAATCTGCCGTAGAAAAAAAAAAAAAAAAAAAAACGGAATGGGTCCAATTTTAACAATTGCTGAATAGAGGTCTTTTAAACTTTAATACGGTTTAACAGTAGAGATTATCGACAAAGATGTCCCTGGTAGAATATCGAAATACTTTACAGCAAGGCTTCTTAAACTTTTTCCAGTGGCGATCCCTTTTCATCACAGGTTTTTTCGCGGCAAATCCGACACACGCGTGCGTGGAACTGTTAATTTGTTCACTTGTACTGTGATATACTATTGCAGTTTTAGGTCATTAACTTTAATTTATAATTCTAAGACATAGGACAATGTGAAAATTTTAAATAAGTAACAGACGAAATGACAGCGTCACGTACAAAGCAAGTAAAATGAACATTTATATTATAAGAAGAATGCGTCGAAACGTTTTCGTTTTTCCATTATCTGCAGTGTCTTATCTTTATCTACTTTCAGATACATCGTGTAAAATTATTTGGTAACTGTAAAATTATTATAATGAGTTAAAGAAATATCGAAACTGCTAAAATGTTTGGCGACTCCCTGCTGCAGATCCCACGACCCCCATTTTAAGAAACTCTGCTTTATAGGATATTAGATGAATATGCATTTAAACTAACATGGGACCGTTACATTTCTTCTGTATATTTAACAAGTGAAAAAATATTTAATATTTTTAATTAGCTATATCAAGAATTAAACGCATTTTTAATTAAATCAATCAGACTAAAAATAATACTGTCCTGGACTGAGTCTATTGCTTTTAAATAGTTTAGTTTGTTGACTAATAACAGACTAAATCTGAAAGAATAATGTTTTCAATTTACCGAATGGCAGCAGACTCGAATGAAAAGTAAAACAACGCAAAATCGTATTTAGAGATTAATAGCGCTTTTTGGCTTCTAAAAAAGGAGAACGGGAAGCCTCCCTACAGATAAAAAGTAAAATAGCAAATTTTGAATTTATTGTATTTGTATATTTATGTATTAAATGTATTTACGTATTAAATGGAATAAATTACTTGTCAAAATATTACAGGAAATTAATATATGTCTAATGAAGCTATACACGAAGAAACTATGACACGAATTTGAACTCATTTTAGGCAGAATCGAAATAAATGGCCGAAATGGAATATTTCTTCAGAATTTCTAACAAGAGGCAAAATAAAATAAAATGTCATAATACAAAAATGTAACAATTTTTGTAGGTATTCTGAAATATTATCGTGAGAATTTTCTTTAGAATTTATAAACGCACGATAGTTGTGTAAAGATGACCTTGATGAAAATATGATCGTTCAAGAATTTGGAAAATTAATGTTAAATAATACCGTTCACTGAAAAGCGATGTTTGTGAAATGTGTGTAGTTTCTTCCTTTTTTTAACAATTACTGTGACTGTTAGTACAATAAAAAGATCGTTTTATCGTAAGTTAAAAATGACGGAAGATTACAAAAGAAATTCGACTAAACAATCACGATTAATTTATTTTTCGCTTCATGCCATCGAGCATAAAGAAGCAAGTAAAATGGACTTAAAAAATATAATGGATTCTTTTGCCTCAAACAAAAGCACGCGAACTAATGCTCTGATTATGTATTTCATATTGTTGCGGTTTTTTTTTAATTATTTATTTATTTATTATTCTGACACCAGTTATTACGTTATTTTCTTCCTTCACGTTTGTACGGGGTTTGTGAGGATTTGGAGTGAATAAGGACAATACTACTTGATGAAGTATCGAAACGCACTTTATTGGCCAGTATTGTCAGGACAGCTCCAAAACACTTTTTACAGTCATCGAAGATCTGCTATAAACACGCTGGAACAATCAGCGACACAGCCTTCACACTGTCAGACTATAACGGTGGAGACAGCTTCCTGCAAAGCACCCGACTCTGCTTTCCGGAGTACAAATCCCGACTTTGCTTGGTCGTTCTCGGAACTCCACGTACTCTCAAGACTCTCCACGCTCAACTCGCGATGCACTCGACGACACTCGAGCACAGCTCCCGACTCTTCAGTTCAGTCGTTCAAGGAGCTCAACACGCTCTCTCGACGATGCACTAACAGACTCCTTCGGTGCACTCGCTGCCCGGCTGTCAACTCGATCGACTCCGCAGGGATTGACTCGCTAGACGAGACATACTCTGGATGAGAGACACACACTGACTGACTGCGGACCAGCAGGGTTTATATAGCTTTCGGCTTGTGTTCGAGAACATTCTGGGCTAAACCGGTAAGAATTCGTTCCAGAAGGTTCTCCATCCGTCCATGGTATATCGCCAAATTTTCGCCAAAAGAGCGATTTCTCCCCAAAGGTGGCAACCCTGCCTTCTCTTGCTATTTTATGGCAACCCTAAAACTGCTTTGCGGGGAAGCCATCTTACCGCGCCTGTACATTTCGTAACAATATTATTTGTCCTGTAATGATGAAATAAAAACTGTGAAAACGCTAATTTTCGCCCTCATTTTTCCGAGTGGCAAAAGTCTCGTACGCTGGAGATTTCGAGAAATGTTTCCACTGCTCGCTTTCAAACCGTAGAGTTTGTTAATAAAAAATTCCTAAGCTTTACAATGAAATAAGAATAGTATTGCCAAACATTAAATACATTATTCTCGATTACAAAAATTCGTGGGAGGCCATTTTGACTATTCCCATCTTCGTACGACTTTAGTCAGCCGAGGTATTAATTAAAAACTCTGAAAACAATAATTTTCGCACTCATTTTTCCGAGTGGCAATAGTCTCACGCGTTGAAGATAAAAATGCTTTATTTCGAAAAGTGTTTCTACTGCTCGCTTTCAAATCCTAGAGTTTGTTAATCAAAAATTTGTAATTTATACAAAATCTATAAAGAAGAATGTCTGTTTGTGCGTTCGCATTATTGATTTCTGATCAATTATGATTAATGTTTTGCCACATTTAATCGACTAAAATTGAATATAGGTGAAATGTTAGATGGAACTTGAGCTTTTACGATCATTTGATTAAAAGACGAAAATCATTAAAAACTGCGTGCCCATTGTTGCTGATATAATGAGAGATAATTAGTTTATTTTTCTATCGAAAAATTTTTTGTGGGTTCCATATCGCATCAAACCGAAAAATGTATGACTATGAGCCGTATATTTTGCACCGTTATCAGAGAAGGATTACGTCGGTATCGTTCTCTCTATTGTTGGATACATTACTCTCAATCTAACTGAACTGGCATCGGCTACTTCCGCTAGTATATTATAAAAATTAGTGGGTAGCAAAATACTATTGTATCTTTCCACAGTATTTTCTTCCTAAGTATCAATGAATCTTCATAAAAATCCTACACTTTTAAATAAATACTGATAATATTTTGCTTAATTTAGTCTACTTACACTGAATAGCTTTATTTTCTTCGTAAGGTTTATCTTAGTCACAAAATATCCAAGTCGTGTACTGAGTTTTTGTTAACAGATACATAAATTAAATTTTAGATTTACTCCGTGTTACTTGTAGATTTAATGATAAAACTCAAGGATTTATCACTTTCTGTGCACAAATTAACGCAAAATATTGCAACTACAATAATATAAACAGAAATTATGTCTGCAGGCTTCTTTTTTCACCAAATTTCACCTCACTAAGCTTTGAACAGCTTACTTAGCATTGCCAATCATTACTCACTTTATACTAATTGGGTTTACTATTTAAATTTAACCTTATTTGTATTGGCGGAAGTCGGCAGGAAAACAGAGAATGTACGAAAAAAATTCACATAAAATAATTGGTTAATTAAATAAGCTTTTGTATTTCATTTTATGGAAATTTGACAAAACGTATCTGATAAAGAACGCTAAGATTTAATGTCGCAGTTTGAGATTTTAATATTCTTATTTCTGTGTTATATTTTGAGTAATCAAACTGTTCTCTTATCCAGAGACAATATACATTTTGGTGTGGTCTGGGAGATTTAACTTTTCACTCAACTTTCTGATGCAATAACAATTTCGACTTGTTTAAGAACATACCTCATACGCAGTTTTAAATTGAGCCGAAAATTTAATTTAATGAGTTGAAAATTTTTTAATTTAAAATTACATCCTTTTTTTTCGCAAAATTTTTTTTAAATATTTAAAACAGGACAAAAGTTTTTACATTTCATTAAATCAGGTAAAATATCCATCGAATACAGATTTTTTGCTTAACTCTCACTGACAAAAAAGGAAAACCCGTTAAATCAAGATTTCGTTTATTTACAACTCTTCACTAATTCAGTGTTGCAGATTTTGATGAAAACATTCATAAAAAAATTACATATCTTATACTCATGAGGTTTAAGAGTAATTAAATTCGACCTGAATTATGTAATTTTAATGCCGACATCTAACTTTCCCAATAAGATATAAAAAATAAAGAATTCTCATCGAGCATGATATGTAAGTTGAGTTTGGCACTGTTTTTTCACATATCAGTCCCTTGGTATCACTAAATCGAGAAACAGAAAGTGATACCTCAACCTATCCTATTGATGACCATAAACGGTAGAAGTAAATTATAAAACAATTACTTTCATATAAATTTCGCAGGATTCAAATTCAGCATGTTTATTTCTTAAAATCTGTGTCACAAATGTTAAACACTTTTTTAGAAACATTAGAAGTAACGTAAGATTTAGCATTATTAGTTAATAAATAACATTATTCTTTTAGAATTACTTAAGTACATTATTTGAACAATAATGCTCACAACTGGAACCCACCTGAATGGATCCCCACCCGAATTTTAAGTTTTCGGTTGGGCATATGTCGAACGCGAAAATCACCTAAAGCAGAGACAAGACGCAATGCCAGACGAGCTATCTCCCTTGCATGGTTATTGCCATTCCTCACAGGTAATCCTGATGCCACCATGTAAGCATCGCCTATAGTTTCGACCTAGAAAGAAATATATTGAAATTCATAATGTGCAGAAATGTGTTCTTTTCTATGTATCTATTATTTCATACTCATTTATATTTTTGTTCTCGATATTTAAGATTTTAAAAACTTAAAACTTATTCTACTACAGTAACTGTGTTTAATATTCACTAATAAAACTTTCTCACAAAGAGACCTGATTAATTGTTAATGATGCTGCAGCTGTGGAATACTATAAAACATTTAATTTGACACGGGGGACCATTTTTATAGCATTTTCGTACTAGATCTAGTAATTTTATGAAATTTCAGTGTTTGGGTACATTTAACATCAGCTTTAGTTTTTTCTTCCTTCCATATAATACTAATAAATGTAACATGTGATAGTTAGCTATATGAATTTATGCCACATCTTGAATGCTGTAAACATATTTAAGAAACCAGATTAGTTTTAATCTACACTACTAAAATACCTCAAAGGAGGCGCATTTATCTTAATAACCACTGTACGAAAGCAATATATTGTTAATTTAGATTACTACTTTTGATTAAACACTGCTTTTGTCTTCTAATTTTAGAAATAGGAAATAAAATCAAAATCGTCTTGAAATCTTAGCCTTTTATGAGTTTTTAAAAGAAAAATGCAACAAGCAATGTCCAATTTTTAGATATAGGAAGTATATATCTTGCGGAAAATGTGGAAGCTTTTCTGAAATGAGTTTAGATCAGAGTTTCAGAAAGAAATAATAAAATACTTAAGGTTGATATTCTCGTCGATCTGTGTTGAATTCTTAATCAAATTTTCAATTAAATAAATTTCACAGCTTCAGTATTAAAAGTTTAGCGATACTGAGTTCTGAAATGTGTACTGTTTTTACATTATAACGGCATTTATTTTGAATTTTCTGAATTTTATTGAAGAAAAAGCCACTCGCTACGATCTTAGCGAAGAATGATATCTATTGAGGGCTGTAGAAGTACGAAAAAAGAGGTCAAGAATTTATAGCATGTTAGAATATTTGAACGGAAGTTATTGTTAAGTAACATTGTTTCACAAAATAGCACAGTTAGTGAAAGCTATGATGTGCATCTCTTATTCGCCAACAGCAACTAAAACAATATTTCCAGCAGAGATGCTGAATGGGAATAAATTAAGAAATCAGCTACAAGTTCCCTTGCAGAATGACTTCTTTTGATAAATGAAAAATTGAAACATTCATAAGCGACCGCTTTATTATTTCATGAGATTTAATTAATTCAGTAAAATCTTCAAAAAATAAAGAATAAATATTTCCTGTGGTTTCCTAGCAACAATATATGAAAATAATATGTTAAATAAATAAAATATCTATATATAAATTACATATAAATTAACTAAAATATTTATGAGTAAATAGAAAAAATGTGTAGTGTTCTACTGTAACTAGAAGCCATAGTCCTGCTGACACTATTAGGCAGAATAGCGAGTTATCGCTTAGCCTTAAACAAGCCACAAATACTGAAGATACTTTGATACTTTAGTGGTTATTTTGGCATTCAGCAGAATGCAGTACTGAAGAAGATTAAGAAATGGCTCTTTTATTTAGTCTTAAACTGATCAGAACAAGCACAGCTTTTGCTACAACAAAATTCCGCTACCTTGTGGGTATTTCGGTTAACATAAAATGTTAAAATTTCAATGTAAGTAACATACACTGAGACTGCGCATAAAATAACTTGTCTAAACTGACTCAGATAGTTATCGCGCGTATTTTGAAAATCTCGGCTCGCAAGACATTAAAGCTGGAATACAAACAAGCAGAGTTGGCAAGAGTAACTGCAAGACGTGACTCTCAGAAGCTCTAATCTAAAAACCCTCAGCTTAAGAGCACCCAAGTCCCCATTAGCGACCGAGTGGTAAAGTCGCTGAACACTGGTTATTCGATCAGGGATTCGAATCTCTGTAAACGGGTTGGCTGCATCGGCCTTTCTCGTGGTTTTCCCCATGTATAGCATAGATGCAATAGGTACAAGCCAGTTTCTCTTAAAAATCCTTTATGAATTAATTTAATGGCTCCTCCCATTGAGAAATAACTATGTGTGTGACGCCATAATAAAAAGTAAATACACACGGCTCCTCTGGTGAGGAATGGGGGAAAGAAGTTCAAGTACAAGCCTAAGTCACAGAAACTGGCTAATCAACATAACATACCTTTTAAATTGAATAACTAAAAATGTGGAGGTTGGGTTATTCAATTATGGCAAAGCACACGAGGGCTATCTGCCTAAAGGGAGGGATGCCTTCGTGGATGACTTTCTAAAGGAAACTGGCTCGTATACACGTTACACATGGGGAAAACCACGAAAACGCCCATGCAGCCAGCCCATTCGCGGGATTCGAACCTCGAACCGAACTACCAGTGTTCAGCGTCTTTACCGCTCGGCCGCTGGTGGGCAACTAAAAATGTGAGCCTTCGTAGATGACTACACAGAAATCTGTAATAAGAAGGATAAACAGATAGAATACTTCACTTAAATTTAGTGAACTTTTACATGCTGTGATTATGGACAAAATGGATCCGCTCGTGAACTTTATAAACTGAATAAACCAATATATCTGAAATAACCCATGGACACCTACCTCTTTAGCATTATTATAACAATTCATTTAACATTGTGTTGCCAGAAACTAATTATAATTATCTCATTATGTTTATTTGTTTATTAATTATGTTTATCTCCTATTTTTGTTGCACAAAATCAGATGTTCAATTTATCTTGTGAATCTCAAATTGTATTCCTACTATTTTGTAATCTACTTATGCCCTACACCATTATTTTTAATAAATACTGGATGCGGGGCGTTCTGTGGAATTGCACGATGTACCATAATAGGCAAACTTTAGACCTTTTTGAAAAGCTTCAGTCTATGCAAATTCTTATAAAACTTGCAATTACCCCCCCCCTTTTTTTTTCTCTCAAAGAGTTAGTATGGGAAGGCATTACCAGTTGACCTATGGTACATCGCTGGTGTTCCCATACTTTTACCTTTACCTTTCCCTTCACTTAGGATATCAGATTATCTTAATTGAGCCTCAAGATAATGTTGTAACGCAGAATGATTTAAAGTGAAACAACAGCAAATGTAAATTTAGTATTCATTATTATTGCTAGGTCTAGTACCTTTTGCATAAATTTATTTCGAAATATTTTTATTAGGCAAAATAAAAAATATTTTTATTATTTCATTATTGCGAAATATTTTTATTATTACATTATTTGGCATCAGGCTGTAAATTTTAAGGTAATGGGAATAAGCAGCAGATTGTTTTGATAAAAGGAATGGCTTTGCTGTAAAATTTTACTAAACATTATATAGCTAGTCGTATAACACAAAATTTCATCCACTTTTGCATATAACTGAAATTGAATTTTTTATAATCTATTTTTCCATTCTGGAGAAGCTCTCAGTGTGATGGCTGGATATGAAACAGAGCTTCAACTACTATCTTTCTACTAAAGTTTATGCATTCAAAAACTAAAAGTTAACTTTTTAAACATATTTACTATGATCTATTTCTTTATTAAATTTGTTCTGAAGGAGTTTTCATTAACTAATTTTGCTTCGCTAGAAAAGTATTAGTCATATATGAACTCATAAGATTGCGAACCTTTATGAATGCTTATAAAATGCTTTCCTAACAAATTTAATGAATGACACTCGGAATATCTCAGTAGATACGGGTTTTTATGAAATTCGGATATAATTAAAGTCTATATATAAAAGTTAGTTGATTTGAAACATTTTTAACCAAAACATAAAAATATCAAGTCTGTCGTAGATCTACTAGTACATATAAGGTCTACCATAAAAAATTATATGCCCAGGAAATGTTAATATATGATCTTAATGACAAAATGTTAAAATTACTGTTCACAGAGGCCTTGACTGAAATGTCGAATTAGTTAGATCCTCACCATCAATATAACATGTGCAGTGTTTGTATTTTTTTCTTTATATCTGATTGTAAATTGCAGAAAAAGAGACTTTTCATTCTCCATCAACAGTATTTATCACAATTAACACCACTAATCTGGCACTTTCGCTCTGGATTATCACTGGCAACCCAATTTATTCCAGTTTTAGAGTTGAATTTAAATAGAAGTTATGTATAAGGAAGTCCAGTTCTTCAATGTCTTTCTAATCACAACATTCTTTTCCTGATAATGATCAATAAGGGGAAAAAATGTTGTTTATTTAGAGGAAAGCGTCTTCATAAATTTCTTGACATAACATTGAAATACTAGATTATTGAAGGTATCAATACAGTATAATACCTTAATGTTATCAATTACTTTAGCAACAGCCACGATCCGAAGCACGAAAACTCTTAGAATATGATGACTTTTTTCATCCAGCTTCAACATTCGAATAAAATATGTTCGAATAATTAATATTCAGATATAATCTCTAACCTATTCAGTGTACTAAGTGATAAAGAATTATTCATCTCTCCAAAGACTGCTTTTCAGTTGTTTAAGAGTCCTCTGGCATAGATTTCTATTGTTCCATCCAACAGCTAACCTTGATATTCGTTGATTTATTCGCTACTCACTCCTAAAGCTTATTTTCCGCTGCTTCTTTGTTCAACAGTTATGCCGCTGGCGTTACTTTAAAGAGATCTGGAGCTCAGTGCTGAATGAAACTAGGTTAGGTTATAACCAGCTGTTCCAGCACTTGCGGTTTATTCAAGCATTGGTTGTTTTAAAACTTGACTCATCGTCCAGTTGTCATTTACGTTGACAATACGGTAGTGTTCCAAAGTACGTAGGTTGTTTTTTTTTTCAACCTCGGATCGTACAGTATGATGGCCAGGTATGCGGCAGGTGGTTGGTGTGCGTAGTAGGCGATTGCGCATCTCCCCCTCCACACGCTCTGTCACTGGCGTATTCAACACGCCATTTTCTGTTGAGATGCAGTCACGTAAACATGGCTGTCGCTATTGATTCTTCCGCCAAGTGTGAATTGCGAGCTGTTATTCGTTTCTTGCAAGGAGGTTAGAATAGAAGGAGGGAAGGTTCAACTCAAACGGTGAAGCTTGGCGGCCATGTTACTGTTATCACTGTGACTTATGCAAGGAAGTCTGTAATTGTAACATTTTTCCCCCCTTTTCTTTTTGAAGCATGTCAGCTTATATTGCATATGGATGCACAAATAGATTTTCAAAAAATATTCCTGGGATTACTGTTTACTCGTAAGTATTGATTTTCTTTTTTTTTTGTGTGTGTGTAATTTCATAAATATGTTAAAAAATATCACAATGTCATGTTGTTTTCTTTCCAGATGTGAAAAAAAAGACTTAATAATAATCGAAACATGTTAAATACATTTTAATGTTTTTGCTTACAGCTGGTATCTTCGTTCCTTAACATACAATGATATGTGCTAGTAATTAAACTGTATGATTTGAACGCTTAGGTAAATAGTTTCATAATTTTCATGAAAAGTAAGAAATCAATTGTTACTATTTTTATGAATTGTAAAAGTGTTAAATAAAGCAACGCTTTCTTTATGCATTAATTATTATTCATTTTTAAGTTTTGTGAACTGTTACGAATATAATTTGTGCATTTGATCGAGATAAACTGTTCAGTTGTTAAAATGTTTTTGCATAAGCTTACAAATTTCTGGGCAGTATTGCGATAATCGTAAGTAAAATATTTACACAATTGAACATGTGAAAAGATATATCCAAAAATTTATATAGGTACATTTCTGTAATTCAGCTTAATTCAGGGTAATTTCTTTGAGATTTATAAATATGAAACGCGCATAAACTGAAATCATTGAATTCACATAAATCTGGTTTATTTTATTAATATTTATTTGCTTGTTGATATAAGGTTGTTGGTTGTGAAAAAAATCTATTTAAAACATTCATTTAAAAAAAACAACATGTTACCATTTTTTTAGATATTATCTGCTATTAATTTCAGGTAAAAATTATTCTAAGTGATTCTTTAATAAATTGCAATATTGCGAATAAATCAGAAATATCACTTCTTAAAGAAACAATTGGAAAGTATACCCAACAAGTTGATAATAAAACCTATACAAATTCTTGAAGTTATGCAGAAACATCATTTAGATTTCGAACTATTTCTTAATGATTTTCTGTACTTAGTAAATTACGGATATCATCTTTATAACTTTAAAACAAAAAACTAACAATAGCGAAGCATTTCATTATAAATTTAAGATATTTTTACTGGAAAATCCCTGCATTTAACAGCTGAGAAACACGTACGTTTCACTACCGTATGGCAAATGTTTTGAAGTTACAAACATGGGCGACGCTTGTTCCGTGGAGCTTCATTCCCCGATAGTGGAGGAAACTGCGAACCCTCCCTCCTTCTATTCTAACCTCCTTGGTTTCTTGCCAGCAGAAGGGAACAGTGCAGCGGAAATTCATCGAAGAATGAGTCGAGTGTATGGAAACAGCTTTATGAGTGATAGCGTTGTTTGTGAATGGTGTCGAAAGTTTAAAGATGGCCGAACTGATATGTGCATTATGAAGGGGGTCAAGGACGCAAATCTGTCGCTACAGACGACATTGTTCAACGAGTTGACCAAGCGGTTAAGTAAAATCGAAGATTCACCATAAGTGAATTGTCGATGAATTTTTCGAAAGTTTCAAAGAGTCTTCCCTGTAGTCTATCGTTACTGAACGGTTGCGCTACAGAAAAGTTTGCGCTCGCTGGGTCCCACAGATGTTGACTGACGATCGCAAAACTCGCCGAATGGTTGCAGCGTTTGAGTTTCTTGACCGTTACAATACTAACGGAGAAAAGTTTTTGAAATCCATTGTGACAAGTGATGAGACATGGGTTCAATATGACACGCCCGAAACGAAACGACAATCACAACTATGGATGCATACAAATTCTCCAAAGAGACCCACAAAATTCAAACGAACCTTTAACCTTACCTTTAACAACCGTAAGGTTATGTAACCGTAAGGTTAAATACCTTTAACAACCGTAAGGTTATGGCAATTGTTTTTTGGGACCAAAAAGGTGTGTTGCATGTGGAGTTTATACAGCCTGGAACAAAAATTAATGCAGATTCATATTGTGAAACTTTGCACGCTTACGGAGAGCTATTCAAAACAAACGAAGAGGCATGCTGACTTCTGGAATTGTTCTGATGCACGACAATGCCCGTCCTCACAGCGCTTGTGTAACCCAACGCCTCCTTCAGCAATTTCAATGGGACATTTTCGAACATCCACCATATAGTCCCGTCCTAGCGCCTAGCAACTTTCATCTGCTCCCTGAACTGAAGCAGTGGCTTGGCGGAAAGCGCTTCCAAAATGACGTGGAGCTGAAAGAAACCGTCACAACTCACTTCCAATCATTGGCGGGGACATTTTATGAAGAGGGTATTGCAAAGCTTGTTCACAGATATGACAAATGCCTCAATCGTCAAGGTGATTATGTAGATAAATAACCTGTATTGTACATTACTTTTGGTAATAAAATCTTTTTTGTATATTCACCCGTCTTTTCTTTATAGCCCATCGGAGGTTGAAAAACAAAAAATAACCCTCGTATCTAGAATTCAAGTCTTTTGACCATGTTATCTGCAACTTTCGATTGTATCTCGACTAATTATAATTTTTATACATATAAACAGATGAACAAATGGATATTATGAGCACTACTGCTCAAGTAAAATGAAGATCAAGTGCATAATAATTTATAACCATAATTTATTTTCCTATCTTCAAGAAAATACTTTGTGTTTTCTAAACTTACAGTAACGTCAACATTTATTCATCGAACATATCATTTTTTATTTTAAACTTTTGTTATAATTTTCTTTTTTTATATTTTGTTTTATTAAGAATGTAAAAAACACGTTTATAAAATACCTTGTAAACGTCAAAATTTTCAATAATCGAATCGAAGCAAGAGTACAGGTCATTTAAAAGATCCACAACCTGAAATCAAAAACAGCAGAAGCATCAGCAACTACAAAGACTGCAATAAATATTTTAATATATTACCAAGGAAGATATTTACCTGTAAAGGAGTACTCTGAGCTGAGAGTTCAGTGAAACCTACAATGTCGCTGAAGAAAATGGTAACAGATTCGAAAAACTCTGGTTTCACGTGACAACCTTTTTTGAGTTCATCGGCTACGTATCTAAAGATATCACAAATCTGCATTAGATTTTGAATCACCCTCCACCCCAAATGAAATTTACAGTAGGCCTCACTTAATGTGATTACATTTCTCCATGACATTTTTGATAGCGTTAACCGAATGATAACATTAAATAAGGAGAAAAAATATCTTTTGATACAGCTATGAAATTTATTTTCATAGAATTGCTTTTAGCAAAATGTGAAAATTTGTCTATGAAATATTCATAATGTCTTAAAAGCAATAGTTCATTTATGAACTGTTCATAGCATTTCTAGAAATCATTTTACCTATGCTATAAGCCTAATCTTTCTACTAGGAGGGCATACCTCATTCACAAGAAGAGAACATACAAAGTAAACATTTAAAAATAGCTAAGAAAAGCAATCTTATTTTGGCATAGATGTTTCAGGGAATTTTTCCTTTTCTCTATTTTTTAAGGATCATAAGGAAAAAAGAAAATCTGCAGAAATTTTCGTGCTTCTGAAGAAGAGGGACCTGTGATTGATCTTCCTTAAAACTGATAGAGTTATCCAAAATCTATGCCAAACTAAGCCTGCTTTTTTACCTAGTTGTAAATGGTTAACAAAAATCGAAAACAAGTTATTGGGTGATATTTTTTTGGCACTTAACGATTTTTATAATCTATTTTGATCTCATTTGGAGACTTTATTGCAGTTAAAAAGTTTTTCGCCAATACTTTGATAACATTAACCGAATTGATCACAATAAACGATGTATTTTCTATGTTCTCGTATATAAACGGGCGAGACTTCAGCAATTCGATAACAATATCCGAATGCTAACATTAACGGTAATACCATTAAGTGGCGTCTACTGCATTTGTGATACATATACTTGTGACTGAATACGCATATAGACATCTCAGTATTAATTAAAAAGTATATAAATTTGTTCCAATTTGCAAGCTGTTGAAATACAATTATGGACTTTATTTTTTCCTTTATTCAATTATTACTTTAAGAAACTTTCCTTTCCCTTCTAATTTCAATTTCCTGCCAGAATGCAAATTTAATGACGTATATGCAAATCTAAGTGAGTACGGAAACAGTATTTAAATAGTAGATTTTAAGAGTTCGATGTAGGAGAGTAGTTAATTCTAAATTTATGCCAGATATTTGATTTAGTAACCTTGTAGTTGAATAGTTGGTGCTAGCGACTTAGATTATATTGATATTCTAGGCTCGGCTTTGCTGTGTGTAAACCGATTAAATTGTTTAGATAGAGTAGGAGCCAGTCGTATAGCTAACTTTAATTTATTATGATTGTACATACTATTTTCTGCTCAAGTTACTTAGCCACAAGTGGTGGTGAAATTGTGAACAGCAAGTGACTTCATTTTCTGTTCCGTTTACTTAAAATAAAAAGATTGTTATAACATTCATCTGCAGTCATCTGTTCTTTCAAGACCTAGCGAGAATTCACTACTCCATCTTTCAGTACCGTCTACAGTTTATGATCCCAAAACACTCTACAAAGTAGGACTGTTGAAACAATGTTCACAATAAAGTTGATGAAAAACTCAAATTTCCAAAGACAAAGCCTCTTAATAAAAAGTAGTTCAAAACAAAATAGTACAAAAAGAAAGCATTATTGTGATAGCTGTCATGAGTTTATTTCACAAATGCAGATATATGACGAAAGTGTAACTCCTCAACTTTAGACAGACATTCACATAAATTCGACTTATTTTGTGATGCAGTACCTGTTTACACGACTACCTAGTTCATCTTACATCACTGTCAGCACAGTCCACTGTAAGCGGACGCATCAGTGTTCTCATAGTCATATCAGACTACAAATCCACCACGTGGAATATCCGCTATTTTAACTTTTTATAAGTCTTGTAGGACTGCAGATACGAATATTGATATTCTCAAAGGAAAAGAAAATCGCAAGCACTGGGTATGGTTGTCTGGGAGACTAGAACAGTACGGCCAGTCTATCATTCCGCAAGATACTAGCCGAAGTAATAGTTTAAATGTGCAAGATGATAGGTAGATTTTTAATACAAAATGAATTCGGGTAGCTCTTCTTCCAACTCTGGCAGTAACTACTCGAAAAGCATGTCTAGACAAATGAATCCTATAACGATGAACTCTATAAAAAAGGAATGCCCAGACACACTGCGGTTAGTTATGGTGCAAAAGACGTTTGTTTTCGATGAATTGCTTTCCTGTTCCAGTATGGTATGTAAATATTACGTATCCCTAAATCTAAAAATATACACGTTCATTTCGACACATAAATGAAACATGGCTTCATCAATTAACATAAGTCTGTTCGCGAACCCATCCACTTCCTGATGTTCTTGAAAATATATGCGGAACCCGCAAATCAGTTCTGATATGTCCGTATTTTGTAGCGCCTTTACCGTGTGAAATTTTCAAGTCTTGAACCCTAATGCTTTTGTGAGACGTGCTACATTGTTGCTTTCAGCGCATCAAATTCTCTATTACAATGACATATTAATTTGCTAAAGCTTCGTGCATAATATGAATGTTTCCATCATTTAGTTGTTTTGTTTGTTCTCAAACTCATTTTATGATATTTTATGTTTCCAAAATCTATTATATTTTATGTTTCACTCATTTTATGATACTATTCCTTTAACTAATTTACTCCATGAATTTATTATAATATAGTTTATGTTTCACTCATTTTATGATACTATTCCTTTAGCTAATTTACTCCTTGAATTTCTCTGAATTATGGTAATTGATGAAAATTTTGCGTATTCTAATACATGTTGAGCTTCTGCTGATTTTCTCACTTTTAATACTAGCACATGCAACTAGCGTTTTGGAAAATGGCGAGTGTTTCAGTATTGCTAAATGAAAGTTACACTGTTGTGTTATATCGGTATTTGTGAAATAAATTAAGCAAGCAGTCAGATGTATTTTTCTTCTTGTATCATTCATTTTGAACTATCCCCTACAATTAATAAACTATACAGGATTCTGTTAAATTTTAAAACTTTGAGAGCATAAGATTCACATCTTGTTAATCAAGATGAATCTCATGTCAATGTTTTCATGGATTCAACTTCCATTTTGTCTTATCTTCACTTTTGTACCCATTGTCAATATGTTAAACACTTTACAATTTAATTATGTATACAAAGAAAACAAAAATAAAAATATATTCCAATAAATATGAAATGATTTTTCTACTTGGATTTATGACATTTTTCAACTATTACAGATGAAATTAATGGCGAAATATATCAGTTATATGTTAAGTGTGAAAATGAATACGTTAAATTTTGTAATAATTAGGAAACCCGTGTTTTGTACTTTATTGTAAAGTTGTTCTTGAAAGTAAAGGAGATTTATATTTTTATCACCAATAGGTTATAATCATTCCGAGTGAAATACTTCAGTTTTGCTATTTTACTAGTTCCTTAATACTAGTAATCTTGCTACTTTATTAATATTAGTGATCAAACTTCATGAAAGTTTTGAGGAATCATATTATTAAATTCAAAATAAATAACTTTGATTGAACTTTTGATCTAACACAGTACTAATAAATGTAACCGTGACATTTGTTAGCGGCATTTAGATTCGAGAAGGTTGGATCTTAGATCATTGTTATCACCTTAATAAGTTACTTTCTAATCGTAAAACAATTGGTATTGAGTAAAAAGATGTGGGGCTTAGGAGTTATAGGTAACAATATTTTAGCAAAGTTTACTTAATCATATTTTGGTTTTTCTATTACCAGATATCCTTCTGGATTTATAAGGTGATAAAAAAAAATTCTGCATTTTCCAATGTTATATGGTCACTTTCAAGATTCAATAAAGTATTTACAATGCAATTTTTCATTTGTCTGAATAAAATTAATAGATTAAAAGTGAAATAAAATTTCAAAATGACTTGCAGAAAATGCTGCATTTTATCACTCGTACTTTAAAGAGAAAATCACATGCTCACAACAAACGATTTAAAAATAAAATAATCCTACTTGGGAATCATTTGGTAAAGCAATTCGTCTGTTTTCTTCTTTTCTTCGTAAAGGGATTGGGTCTTTTCATCCACTAAGCTTTCCAAATCATTGGCATATTGCTCCATCCTGTTCAGAAGGTTGTCCAGAAAATTTTTACTTGACATGCCCCTGTTGTCATGAAACACGATAATTTAATAAATACCTATTTAAAACACAAATTATATCAAAATAGTTTAAAGAGTTAATGGACAGTGAAAAATGATCACGCGAAAGAAATAGCTAGTAATCCAACAATGAAACTGATATGATATAGTTTAATACAGAATCATTAGAAATATATTATAAACATATACATATATAAGACATATTATAAAAAGCATCATAAATTATAACATTTTAAATATTTTTGAAAGGATTATAAAAAATATGCGTTATGTTATAATATGTTAAACATATTGATATGATTAAAAACTGAAAACTCCTAAGTGCTGTCGAAGGTTTCATTTCGATGTCACTTTCTCTTTATGTAACGGTAGACCTCAAAATTATACTTTATCTCATTAGCTTGCGGTAAATTCTAAATTAAACTTCGATTTCAGAAGCCGACTGATATATGTCCATCGTCAAAAAAACTTTCTTGATAGAGTCTTATTTAAAACTTTATGCCAATTTTATGTTGCTTTCTGGTCTAATTTATGAAAGATTAAAGAAATTTATAAAATTACTTTGTTTTGGCACATTTTATTATTTAACACATTTCGATATGTTTGATTAGTTTAGGAGAAACAAGTCTTATGTAACTGAAATCCTAAAATTACTCCAATAAATGTAATAAATAACAAATTCCGCGTCAGAGACCATGAAATTACATTATAAATTTAATTCGCATTTTTAGTTATAAAATAATACTTGAAAAAATCAGCTGTGTAAAGAATTTTCGATAGATGATAGCTCTGAATTGAGTTCGAAAAAATTTGAGTTCTAGAAACATTGGAGTATTTGTGATAGATGTGTGATGAAGAGTACTAAGTAATATAATTATGTAAAGATATGCAGTTAAGATATGCTACGGATCACGAACTTCCAACTTCACGAACAAATTATCGGTGTTATTTTATATATATATATATATATATATATAAACCTCGAATCACGACTGGTGTCTCTAGTTAATACTGCAGTCGGCAACATATGATTTTCAAAGGTGTTTTGATTTTCAAAGGTGTTTAATTAAAACTTTTTATCTCAAAACCTATCTTTTTTATATCGCAAAACCAGCGAAATATTACTTCTTAATGTATATTGCTAATCATTTTTAAATTATATAATATTTCATTTCGAAATGATGGATACAATATTTCGTATTTGTACAGGTGAGAACCGGTCGCGGACACTTAGCCGACGAGACACTTAACCGACACCAGTTGGCCGACAGGACATTTAGCCAACACGGACACTTAACCGACATGGACACGTAGCCGACAGGACATTTAGCCGACAAGGACACTTAGCCGACAGAACATTTAAACATTTAGCCGACAATGAGTCTCGCTTCCCAATGCTTTCAAATTTCTAGTACTTTCACATTTTATTACTACTCTGCTCAACACATCATGCTACATTCATTCCTCATTCCCGTATTTCCTTTCCCTGTCAGGAACTAGAGTGATTCGCCCTACTCCTCGCCACAACGGACCTTTTTCTTTTTCTTTTTTTTTCTCCTCCCTCCTGAAATGCTAATTACACCCTCAGAATGCTATTCACACGTTAGGCATCGTATATTTATTAATCTGTGATAGGGCTCCGGCCCACTAATTCGTGCCTCATGGGGCCTGCTGCCACTTAACAGAAGCAGGTTTGGTTTCGTTTAGTTTATTTAATTATGGCAAAGCCAGACGGCTATCTGCGTAAGGAAAGGGATACCTTCGTAGAGAACTTTCAAAGGAAACTGTCTCGTATACACGTTACACATGGGAAAAACCACGAAAAAAACCATGCAGCCAGTTCGTTCACGGGATTCGAAATTCTGACCGAACTACCAGTGCTCGGCGACTTTACGCTGGGCCTAACGGAAACAAAGTGACCATTTTACCTAATACATAAAATAGTAATGAAACGAAAAGGTATTAGAAATTTGAAAGCATTAGGAAGAGCGAGATTGGAAAATTAATATCATTAACTAAACAAGAAAAATTATTAACGATGTGAAAGTGTTCAAAGGAACCCCGTTGATTAAACGAAAAAGCTTTACGGATAATTTTTGCAGATCCAATATTAAGATGTAATTAAGTGACCGTAGTACTAAGCTAAAAAAAAAAAAAGTTCTTTTTTTTTTGTCGAAATTTAATTCGTATTCTCTGACGAGAAATTTCAACGCCTTTTTCAATTAGGCCAATATGCACCAAACAGCACGATATATATCAAATTATGCTAAATTACACAAGAATTTAAAGCACATATGGAATCTTTAAGGAACGAAAAATGAATTTTACTGATAAGAGAAAAAAATGACTTAAATATTGATTTCATGAAGAAATCGAGAACTTTTGTAATTGATAGTAAGTTTAAATAATTATTGGGTATATTTAAATAATTATTAATGGTAATATTTAAATAATTATTATTGGTAATATTTAAATAATTATTGGGTAACATGTCTGCTAAACGTCATTGTCGGCTTAATGTCCTGTTGACTAAATGTTTTGACAGTCAACGGCTAACTCTCTGCGTCGGCTAAATATCCTGTCGGCTAAGTGTCCTTGTCGGCTAAATGTCCTGCCTGCTAAATTTCCGTGTCGGCTAAATGTCCTGTCGGATAACTGTCCTTGTCAGCTAAATGTCTTGTCGGTTAACTGTCCGTGTCGGCTAAATGACCTGTCGGCTAAATGTCCTATCGGCTAAGCGTCCGTGTTGGCTATATGTCCGGTCGGCTAACTGGTGACGGTTAAGTGTCTCGTCAGCTAAGTGTCACGTACCCGGTGAGAACATATGGAATAGATCTAATCTTGCAATTATTTTTTGTTTCTTTTAAAAACATATTATCTTAAAAAACATGGTAGAGAAGCTACCGAGGCCATAAGATTGTGATACTGACAGATCGGTAAACTACCATAAAACGACTTCAAAATTTGCTTGCGCATGCTTGGTAATGTTATCTTATATGGGACCAGTTTTCAGCACTGTTTCTCTCTCCATTGTTTAAACTTGGAAGTCAACATATTTTACTTTTAACACTTTCGTGTATCTCAAGAACATTTTCACGAAGACGAACTAAAATATAGCACTAGAAGTTACACTAATTTCTCTTATAACAGTTACAAGAAAATTACAATTTCTTACAACCTACCATCAGTAGTTAACAGTGTGGTTAAGTTATGGGAACAAGTGAAAGGCAACTAGACCTTCCTCACATACTTCCTTCCATTCCAGGACACGGAAATCTCTCCTTAACAGTGTCCTATTGTCTTGAAAACCCGACTACGCTCGAATGGCGTGCTATTTCTAAAGAGGTAGCATGATATTCTATTCAAGATAAAATCATACTTAAATGTATTAATGCCTGAAATGTAAGGGGGCTAGCCTAGCCCCTCGAGGCCAATGAAGGCACGTTTCTGGTAACGATATCACATTGATAAAGTTACAGAATAAGTATTTTCAATGTCATTGCGATGTCTCACTTTGGAAAAAATTTAAAACATTGGTAATAATAAATCAGACTGGATAAATTTTGAAAGAAATGGAAGCTCAATAAATCTAAAATAGAGTCGAATGGTGCTTAAAGACAAAGAAAAGATGAAAAAAATGTGCCACCTAAAGGGGACACTTCATCCAAATAATAATGTTTTTCTCATTATTTTCCACTTATGCTGTCTATTCTCCTCCATACATACAGTAACAGCACAAATAAGTTAAATTTTCGTGTATTTTAATATATTCGTGTATTTTAATACTTTATCTGTTTCTGCCTGTAGTATAAATGATAATCTGGCATTTCACATACATAGTACATTAGTTGAAGAATAAATAATTTTATTCTGTTTTTGCATAATATACGCACAGTGTTTTTTACTTCTGCTTTTTCATTTTGTTTTCCTTATATACTTGTTGTAGTCATACGTTTAGTCAAATGTTTCTGCATCTTTTAATCTTGGAACCGCTGGGTCCCAGATTTGGTGGCGGTCCACCAGATCAGATCCCCGGGTACACAATTTATTTGCATAGGTGTTTTGGTAATTTTTCCCATGTGTAACGTGAATATGAGTCAATATGGATTAGAAAGTCTTCGCAAAAGCATCCATGTCATTAGGCAGATAGATCATCTGAGTTTCATTTTGGTTATTTCACAGTACGACCGTAAATTTTTTTATTAATTTTTTATGGATCTACTTGGCATTCACCATAAGATGTCCTGTTAATAACTAGTAAACTCCTAACGGATACAGTTATATTATTTGTAACAACTGATAATTACCTTACGACTTTCTTTTTGGTTGAATTCTCCAACTTAATCAAATGCTAGCTTATTAAAAACACACGAACTAATGAATCTTTGTATAAATTTTTACATGTTCAGTAAAAAATTGCCTTTTGATATTAGCAAATTTATTATGGTTTTAGAATTAAGTGTTTTGAGTGTTATATGATACCAAGTAATGAGATACTTTGTATGTGTGTGTATGCAACAAATACAGGGTATCTGTAATGAAATTTACCCTATTCAGAGTATTATCATTAGAAAATTACGGAATTTTGTGTACGGTAATAGGAAAAGATGGAAGACACATTTAATGAAAATGTCTTTCCCTTTATTACAAATTCATTTAAAGAAAACGTAACATTACTTTGTTATTCTTCTTAACTTGTGTTTTATTTCTGGAAAGCTAGGCCTAGCTTCAGGATCTTCTTCCCAACACATTTTGATGAGATCCAGCATATCCACCTGGCATTCATCTTCTGTGATCTCTGGACGGTAAGGCGGTGTAGTACCCATTCGTAATTGGTCTAGAATATCTTGATAATAAAAGAAAATATCTACAACAATTACACAAAGCAACTTTTAAATTATGTTCATCTTAAAATTCATTCTTGTTTTTAATTTTAAGCTTTTTAACGCATGTTTGCATTAGCAGATAGCCTGCAAAAATAAATTAATTAAATTAAAATTAAAGAATTCCGTAATGAAACTAAAATATAAATGCAGTTCCAATGTATAATATTATTGCGCATTACATGTTCCTTAAAATCTCCATCATCAGAAAACTAAGAAATAAGTTAAATAAGTTAAAATAAGTTAAAATAAGTTAAAATCTTTTACTAAGTTAAAATAAGTTAAATCTTTTACTAATCTTTTACTAAGAAATAAGTTAAAATCTTTTTACACACGCAATGAATATCATAAATTACAAAAAGTGCTCGCAGAATAAATCTAAAATTACTAATAAGAAGCTCAGAAGTCTATAACAAACTCGATTCTCAACTTCATAGCTGCTCTTCGCAGCTCCCTATTTGTATGTAAATGTAAGGGGTGTTGGAACCTCAAAATCTTCAAAAAAATTGTGATTTCGGATTTTTGCATTTTTCAAATTCTCTACACTTTTATCTTTCTAAAAATACCATTCTTTAATCCCTATGAGAATTATAACTGTAAAAAAATCTAGTTTTAATTTGTCATCGACTGCTTTAATCAATGAGGATTTTTACATACAAACGCGTTTTTCTCCAAACGTGGATTTTTTTATACTCGATGTACCTTTTCTCAGGAACTACTGCTCACAGGTATGTAAAATTTTTATGGCTTATTTATTAGGTTTCCTAATATTTACTGAAATGAGATTTTGCGATAAACGTAGGAAAAAACATTTTTTAAATGTTTTGTGTGAGAAAAGTGCTAAATTTTACTATGCCCAACGAAATATTCTGTAGATAACTCTAAAATTCAAAATGTTTCAAAAGCTCATTTCAATATAATCAGATAGGTATACTTTAATTACATAAAAAATTTCAAGCGTGTATCTACAGCAGATTTTGAGAAAAGGTACATCGAAAATGGCCAATTATCATTGTCGGTATAGGGGTTGCTGTATACCCCTTAAACAACAAATGACAATCTTAGATCGGGGCATATTTTATATAAAACTCTACCAGTGTTGTGGGGATCAGACATAGTCTCTTTTTCAATCTGTGTTAAAATCAGATAAAGAAAATTCAAGATATACCACTAGGTATATATGTAAATGAAAATAATTTGAATAACATCTGTTTTGTTCCAGTACCTTCAGGGTTAATGTAACTGGGATGCAATCCAGCATTTTCAGCTGGTTCAAAGGGACCTCTTCTTGTGACAACCTCTTGAAGCACGATTGCAAAAGAATACACGTCACCTTTTTTCGAACCCTCAAGCCTAGGATATTTTCGACGCAGATGTTCTGGAGCAGTCCACAATAGAGTACCTAGGAGTAAAAACTGAAGCTTAAATTTAGGATTCAGAAAAAAGGTTTGATGTTTTATTAGCTTCATTATATAGCCTTGATAAAATAAAATGGCAGTTAATAAGATACAGCGTGAATATAAGCAAATTTTAACAAAAGTACAGCTTCTAAAGCAATATAGCCGAATTTTTAGCATGGGCGTCCGCAGGAAATTTTCCAAAGGGCAAAATTTGGCGAATAATGACATCAATAAATTTTAGTTTGACTATTTAATTTGAGGGTTTCACCAATAGACTAAATATTCCGGTATTGTATTAATACAAAAATACTTTGTACGTATATAACTTAAAAAATATATTTCATACTCGACTCCAAGGAAGCTAAGGGCCTCATTTGCTCTCCCTTGCGGACGTCTCTGCTATTGCGTCTTTTACTACGGCTGTGTATAAATCCTAATACAAAAGACTCGGTGGTTCAAATTACAAAACTCGAGTTAAAAAATGAAAAAATTCAATAAATTATTTTTTTTTTTTTTTTTTTTTTTCAGGAAATGAAAATGAACGAAAATTTCAACTGTATGTTTATATGCATTATCAAGGAAACACAAACAGGTTAAAACATCAATAAGCGGCAGTTTGATTGATACCATAGTAGTCAATGTGGAAGTATTGAAAATATGTTCAGCTTTACAGAACATAAAATGAAAAGCATTTATAATGATTCATTTAAGAGTTGAATCTAAAGTTTTAGAAACAAGTCTAATTGATAAACTGATAACTGATAAACTGAAAGAAATTGTCGAAAGCTTTGGAAAATTTATTTGTTTTATGTGCATTACATAATGTGCTGGAAATGACTCCTTCTCTGTCAAGATTTACTGGGCAGCGCAGCTTTGTTTGTTGCCTAGATGTGAAATTTTTATACAAGCTGTGGAGCAGTTACATGATATGAAGCTAAATTCAATTAGAGGGATTCACATTCTATACGTCTCAAGACTGAGCGCACAGGTCTTTTTAATGAGCAAACGTAAGGACGGTTAATTCCAAAAGGTCTGTATCTACTGTGGATACCCCACTTAACAAAATCAGATTTATTTTTATGAAAATAAGGATAGATACTTCTGCAGCAACATACAGCCGTGGACAGTTGAAAACTTACATAGCATTAGCGGTGAGACCAGAATATTGACTGTCTGAAATTGCCCAATCGAAATATGCAGTGCCACGTCAGTATGTATTTGACGGTAGATGGAAGTAATTTCTAGCTTATGCTGTAATGCAGTGGTTCCCAACCTTCTGTACGCGAACAAGCAGCTACCGGTACACGAATAATTTTACAATTTAAAACAAAAATAAATTAATAATCTGTATTAAGAAAAGAGAACAGAAATGATTATAATAATTATTAATTCCTACATTTTATTGTAGTTTATTTGTAGAGACATTAGGTTATTTGGAAGCAGGAACGATGTGAAAAATGCTCGAACCACGGATCTGTCGATTACGCGTCGAGTGTGCTGACCACTACACCACGAATGCATGCTAAGAAGGCGGGAGAAAAGCCTTATATACCCCCTTTTAAAGAGCGACTGGAGGTTAAGGGACCTAATCTCTTAGTTCGGGGTCCACTGTAGAGACATTAGGTTATTTGGAAGCAGGAGATGCGAAAAATGAGTAATGCCCTCGCCAGGACTCGAACCACGAACCTCTTGATTATGCGTCGAGCGTCCTGACGAACAAAGGTATGCTAAAAAGGGGGGAGAAATACCTTCCTCTTGTATACTTTTTATATACTTTTTTAATATTTTAGTTTTTTACCTTACGTTTTTGTAATATTTTACTTATTATTTTTACAGCATCCCGATACAATGATGAGATTATTTAGTGCAATCTGGAAGTTCTAGTATCAACCTAAAGGAAGATCATTCACGAGGATTAAGCAAAGACGAAGACCAGAATTACAGAAGCAGAATTGAACTTGGTTCAGGATCTATGATCCTGATTATATAAAATATGTGTTCGCCATGAAATCCGCAAAAGAAGCTGAACATGTTCCACAATGCGTGATTTTCTTTGAGTTCGTATCAAACGGGACTCTTTTGAAAAGGCATTTATATGGCAAACATTCGAGTGTAAAAGACAAACCTCTTGATATTTTTAAAAGAAAAAATTCAAAGTTTTGCTCTCAAAAATCAATTGTCAAAACGTTTAATAGTGTAAACACTAATTATGTGAGAGCATCATATAAACCTACTTTACATATAGCTAAGTGTAGGAAATCACATGCAATTGAAGCATTTTTGATGCCTGCAACAAAGGATATAGTTGCATCTGTCCTTGGAGAGAAAGAGAGGCTAAAGAAATTGGCAAAGTATGATAATCTAATAATGCTGTTTAGCGGCGAATAGATAAGATGGCATCATAGGTTGAAGATATTTTGATCCAAAAATTAAAAGCAAGCCAGTTTTACTCCCTCCAGCTGGATGAAAGTACCTATATTTCCAATTTGGCACAACTAGTTGTATATTATTTGGTTTGATTTTAACAATGAAATACAAGAACTATTATTTTGTAAACCATTAACTGCAAGAACAACTTCGAAAGAAACATTTAAAATAATTAATCGTTATTTAATTAAAAATCACATAAGTTGGCTAGAATATGTTGGAGTTTGCACCGATGGTGCTCGTTCGATTATTGGAAAATTACTAGGAGTGGTAAACAAAATTAAAGAAGTGGTACCAATTTATTTATTTTCGGGAAGACCTCACAGCTCAAAATAAGATTCGAAATCCTTTCTCATGCACAACCGGGGCTCCAGACGATTGCAAAAGAGTCTTTTATAGATTGTAGAGACATTAGATTTTTTTGGAAGCAGGCAAGATGAAAAATATGAAACGCCTTCGCCGGGAATCGAACCGCGGACCTATCAATTACGCGCTGAGTGTGCAGACCACCACACCACGAAGGCTCGTTAAGAAGACGGGAGAAATACCTTATCTTAGCAGTGACAGTGGATTGAAATCAAGCTTCCTGAGCTGCAACCTATTCACTTTTGGGCTATTTAATCGTAAAGAATACCCAAAAATATCTTCCCAAGGAGTAAAATTTTTAATGCTATTTGCGACCACATATTTATGTGAAAAAGGATTTTCTGCAATGACTGCGATGGAAACTAAATATAGAGCTTTGCTGGACATTGAATCGGATCTTCGCCTTAAACTGACAAGCATTGAGCCCGATATTACTTCTTTAGTTAATAATAAACAGGCCTAACCTTCTCACTAGTTATATATTTTTTTAAATCATTATTATATTTTATGTATATGTTTAGCAATATAGCCCAAGTTACTTGTCTTTATTACAAATGTTCTTCTCCGTTGCATTTTATTCCCCATTTCAAAATTTTGGTCAACCGGTACGTCATCAAATTTTTTATAACGTACAGGTACGGTAATATAAAAAGGTTGGGAACCCCTGCTGTAATGTATACGTATTCGGTGTCAGACGAAGACTTCTTTTTGTAGGCCTCTCCTCAGGAAAGAGGTTTTTGGAATAGACAAAGGATTATCGAAAAGCATTATAGATGATATAAGAAATAATCGTACGCTGCCAGAACAAGTTGGCAAAAACATGCTCTGCGGCGTCATATTGTACACGGTGGAAGAAAGCAGTAACTAGTTGTAAAATTTGAGAAATTCCCGACAATTTCTATCCTTTTATTTCTGATCTACTCCTAAAACCTTGGGGTCTGTTCAATACGATGTTCCATAATATCCATAATGCATAATATTCCATACTTTATATAAACTAATTTATACCAGTATTATTTTTCTGTAAACATCTTCATTTGGCATTAACGTTAGTATAAAGAGCAAGGACAAGTATTTGTGTGAAATATTACTTACTGGCATCTTCAGAATCGGACTGAGGTAACTGTTTCTTTAACTCTCGAAGACCGTAATCGCTTAATTTGACAACAAAGCGTCCATCTATGAGACAATTTTCGGAACTTAAGCATCCATGATATTCTATTTTACTGCTGTGAATGAAATTCATTCCCTGAAAGAAAGAAAAATTTTAACAAATAGAGGAAGACGTATTAAAGTCAGTAGGCATTTAAATAAACTAATTCAAAGCATTTGCGACGTACAGTAATACTATACACAGTGTACAGTAATACACAGTGAATCGAAAGCTTTGTATTATTGAATTTTTTACATAAAATATTTAATTATAGTTATGTCCATTGGTTTGCGGTGAAAATGTCACGCCAAAAATATCGCGGACAAAAATTTCGCGATGGTAAGAAGGTAAGGGGGAAACGTAGTAGTACAAGGTGGCCCAGAAGTCACTTTACATTTTGAAAATTAAATAACTTTTTCTTAAATGACTGTATTTAATTAATTCTTTTTTTATTTTTTGCTTATTCACATGTCCATTCAAATGGAAATGAGCTTCATCTCCCATGATCAACTTGTGAATAAATTCATTGTCATTTCTTGCAGTTCTCTGAAACCTGACAGCATAATTTACTCGTTTCTGGAAAGTCTGCTGGTTTTAAAGATTGCACTAATTGAACCTTGAAAACGCGTCACTAAGTTCCTTATTGCAGGCCTACTAGGGGGATGTCGAACATTAAAATGGCCGCATATATGCGTTGCAACAATTGACCGTCCATTTTCAAAGTAAAATTCAATTATCTTCACTCGTTGTTCTGTTGTAAACTTATCCATGCCAAAAATGTCCAGGGATTATATTTTTTAATTCTGAAAAGAGAAAAAGAAATATATTAATAGAAAAAAAGTTATTTAATTTTCAAAATGTAAAGTGACTTCTGGGCCACCCTGTATTACAGAATCATTGGTAGATTAGAAAGCAAGAGGAAAACATCGTACCTCTAAAACTTCGTGGTAGAAAATCTTTAAAACTCTGCACTTTTAAAACATTGTCCCCAAAAGTAACGTTATAAAAAACAAAATACCTGCGAAGCATCACATATCGATTCCATCGCAAACATGTGTTTTAAGTTTTTACCAAAATAATGAACAAGTCAAACAGTAAAAGCAATACAACAAATAAAAACATTATAAACAGCAAGAAAGAGCATTTATACGGAGAGTGTTTTATGGGGACTTTCGAATAGCTTCTTTTGGCACTACCTATGAGATTCAATGATCTATGCATGCCCACAGTTTGACAGCTTTCACAACGAAAAATCCCTGTTACAGATTCTGAAACGGCGATTCATGCTCAAATGATTCCCTGTAAATTGTGAACTGAAACATTTACACAGCCTAATCATCTAGCAGTTTTTTGCATTTTATAGCATAATGCCTTATGAATTAAATTATAATAAATAAAATGTATATCGAGCTTTGGACCATCTTGAAGATTTTATTGGCTATAAGGAAATACCAAATACTAAATTTATAAGCTGTTTCGTTTAGTGGTTTATAATGTGAGTAACACGTCCGCCACTTTCTTATAGCTTATAAAAAATTTAGAAGAATGGAATTTAGGATATAAAATAAATTTAGAAAAAAGAAATTTACATGACTGGAAAAAGAATCTTTTCAACTACAGCAGTCTTTCTTCAAAATTTCCCTGATTGAAAACTCCTTTGAAAATGTTTTTTGAACACACTTCCGAAATCCTTTTCAAGTTCTTTATGCCTTTTAAGGATCTTTATGCCTAAGGAAAGAGCTATGTTTCATGGAAATTATTCTGAGAGAAACTGGCTTGTTATTTATGTTACGCAGGGGAAAAGCCTCGAAAACACCCAAGCAGTCAATCCGTTCCGTTGAACTCTGCCCGGAACTACCAATATGCAGCAATTTTACAGATCCGCCGATTGTGATCCATTAAGACGCATTTAGTTACCAAATTCCCTTGTGATAGAACTGATTGGGAAGTAATAGAAAACAGATTAAATCTTTAGATTGTTAAATTTTAAGCAAATGTGCACCAAAATAAATTACAAATCATCAAGAAATTATTAGTTTTTGATTAAATTTTTATTTAGTTAAATATTTTGCAATAACTTTGCAAAATCAGATGCATTAATCGAAATATTTTTAATACAATATCGAGTCGCTGGCAATAAAAATTTTCAAATTTAAAATATGAAACAGGATATCTGGGAACTAGAACTTATTCAAAATATTGTTCTACTTTGTGCGTTATCAGTTTAATACTGACTCTGTCAAGGAAGTTTTGGAAGTTTTACAGCTTAAATTTGGATTTTCAAGTTTGAACATAAACAAATAAAGTATTAAAGTGGGAACAAGTTAAAGGCAAATCATAAAGAACACATATAATATCAAAAGTAAATTTCAAAATTAATAATTAATTTTTAATAAAAAATCAAGTATTCATCTAAAATAAGGAAATAATTAGTAAAAAACAGTTGTATAACAATTATAACAAATAAAAAAAAATTCAAATTAAAGAAATACATTATCTAAAATTTCAAATAATACTTTTTAAATAATTAAAATTAAAAAATATTATTTCTGAAGTCTAGGATGAGATCATATGTGTGTAAAATTTAATTTGAGCACTAAGGTTATTGCTTTTTCTATGCTGCATATATATTATATATATATAAATATATAATATATAATAGGAAGAAAAAGTCAGTAGGCATTTAAATAAACTATTCAAAAATTTTCATTTGTGATAGATTTGATAAGATAAGCAATAGAGAAGAGCGCAGAAAGCAGCAGTTCATGCAGGCCGAAGTGCAGAAAGCAAATGTGTTGTGTTCATGATGAAATCTTAATTCATCATGAACTGAGTTAATTTTGGTTCTCAATGCATTTGTATTGGATTATCAATACTGCTGTAAAATTATTATTGGCTGTTTGACTTTTAGTTCCATTTACATCATCAGTATCATGTAAGAGTCATACGACATGGACTCGTCTCGAAATAACGCAGTGAAAGAAACAGATTACTATTTTTAGAAGAGATGGGAAATAAATTTAAGTATTAAGAGACTACTGCTAATTTAAATTGTAATTTACCTTTTACATATTTATTTTTATCTTGCAGGTAGAAGCCAAGTGCGCAGTTATCCAGTATGGAAGCACACCAACAGAAGGTTATGTGTTTACCGTATATACCCGCGTATAAGTCGAGATATTTTGGACAAAAAAAAAAAAAAAAAAAAAAAAGACTTCAAAGTGAGTACATAAAAGGAACCTCCAAACTTTTTTCCCCGCCGGCTGTATCAGCATTTTTGGGAAGCTTTGAGGGCCAAGATTTAGTTAGTTTATCATGCCACGGTGATGTAATTGTGATAAATAGCATACACATGTTTCTAAACAAGGCAGCGAGATTTTTGAGATAGGAATTATACCATTATGATAGTAAGAAAAGCCTTATTTTTTAGACTTTTATGCAGTTTTAACTAACATAAATTTCTTAAAACTATTTAAACATCTGCAAATTTATCTCTCCTTTGTAACAATTCATGAGAACACTTTAATAACATTTGATCAGGTGCAAACTTTCGCTCATAAGTATTTTATATTTGGCCAAATTTTGTGTGAAAAAAAGATCTCAAAAATAAAATAAATCTCTTAAAAATAAATCTCTAAAATAATTTACAACACATGCAGAAAAAAAATTTAAACAAAACCCCTGCTAAAAATTTCTATGAACAAACCTAGAACACTACTATGAAAGTACGTAAAGGTAACTCACAACACCTTTATTTTCGTAAGTACAGCGGCAAATTTTTTAATAGAGTGGTTACTCTGTTTCAATGTAAATTTTAAAACTGTTAAATAATGTTTATAATACGTTTTATAGTAATCGTGCATAACAGGCAATGTATTTATAGATTTTTTTTTTTTCTATAAAATTGTTAATGTGCACGTTACATTGCTTATTTTAAATTTTATGAAAATATTAAAAACTTCTGACGGGTTTGACGGATAGTGCTCACGAGGCGTAGTTTGGAGGCCTCTGACATACATGATTTATGAAGGGAAATATGTTTTCGAACTGATTTGCCTATTGTAGTTAAAAATATAAAGATATTTACCAATATTTTTAGGTTTTAATTATACGAACACAATTTTTATTCTGTCGTCAAGGATTAGGAGAATTTTGAATTCTTAAAACAGTTTAAGTATTATTTTACACACTTGCACTGTTTTTACTTTAATGATGCAAGGCTTTGTTTTCATGATAGCATAAGTTCTACTAATTAATATATATGATGAACTAATCATTATAATTAATAAGTAGATGAAAAAATCTTGCAAATTTAATTAAAGTTGAATTAATGCTTACTTTGCAGCCACAGTATTAAAATTACAGCTAACGTGAGGTTTCAAAATACAGCGAAACCTCGGTTCAAGAAATTAATTCTTTTCTGAAGGTCTTTCTTCAACTGAAATGTTCGCATACCTAAACTATTTTCCCCATATGAACGAATGTAAAATGGTTTGAACCATTCTTGCACAAATCATCACTGATTTAAACTTTAGAAAAATACTTTGCATACAAGTTCGTGGCATGAAACCAATGAAAATCATTGAATCGAAGACAAGAAAGATAAATAGACAATTATTTTAATTTCGCTATATCTGTACAAAGGGAAATGAACTGTAAAACGGAATGTGATCAGGAAAAGAAAGGGAAGGAATGTTTTAGATAAGGAGGCTCTTTCCGTAAAAGCATCAGCTAATAGTCTTTCTGGCATATCATCTTTTGTCTTTTTTTATTTTCTTAGAGCCACTCTACTCTTCTTACCCCCGTTTCACTAAACATTTGTTCCACAGGAATTGCTGTCAATGTTTTAAAATGTTTCTAAAAGGAGGCATGGCACTGTCATTGAAAATGCTTTGCTGTATATTGTTATTGCTTCACTAGTGTGGCATCTCTAAATGATAACTCTGCATCTTGCCACTTTTTCTAAAATTTCGCAGGTATGAGTGCCGGAATCACCTTTTCTTTCTTTCTTCTTCCTCTGAAGCCCTTTTTATTTACAATCGCCTTTCGTTCCTGCTTCTGAAGTTGTCTTCTGAATTCTTCAGTCAATATTCATAGCCTATTAGTGATCCATCTCGTAACTGTTAAATGCCAAGCCCAAGCCTAGACACGCAATATCGAAGATAACAAAAAACGTTCTAAGTGTATCAAAATCCTCTCTGTCTGCAACCCAGTCAGGCTCTAATTTCCTCGAGGCTGATTTCATGATCTTACTTTGCTGATGCGAGTTAAGCAATGAAAAGTTTTAAAAAGATGCTTTAGGAAGCTCATGAGTGTCAATTCTATAACTGTCAAAGCGCTCTTGAAAGCGCTCTTGAAAATCATTTGTTGGGAATGTGAGTGCTCGTAATTCGAAAAGGCGTACTTCATCCGAGACTTTTCTCTTCGCGATTCAAGGTTTCACTGTAGTTTACGTAATTTATTCTTGTAATTAAATATGCTTTTGATGCAACGCTGCATTGATGGCGAAATGGCTGCTATTTCTTAGAGAAATTGCAGAGGAAATGGAGACCAATGTTATTATCATTCTTAATTCTCAGGCTACCATTAGGGTACATTCTTCTGTGTTCCTCAATGGTAAAAATCGCTTTAGGACTGCCAGATTGCTTTTGACTTTCATTTGGAAAGCGAGAATTACCTCCCCTTTCGGGTAAGCCAGGGGTGATTCGATTCAAGGGAAGACCCGTAGAAGTCGACAGAAGTCACGAACTCTGCGTAGCTCTTCCTTCAGAGAGTCCCACTGGGATAACGCACCTGTAAGGCGGTCCACCTTCTACGGCGGGTACTCATTAAACCTAGCATCGGGCCCGAAAATACGACACCTCCCTCTTGTTGTCATAATACGACGAGGAAATATATATTAGACACCTCGATGTAGGTACGAGACCACTTGGGATAACGACATATTAATTTATAAAAGATTTTTAGTCACTGGGGAATTATCGGAAAAATAATGCAGATGTCTTTATCATAACTGGTTTTGACTCATCTCAGACAAATTCTTTTGTTAATTTTCCTATTGTTAATAGACTTATTAAATTCAGCATCAGCCTGTTCGGTGAAACTTCCTTAGAAAACTGCTTAGGGGAAAGTTCTTGGCTCCTTAAATTCTGGTTTCCTATAGCCTACCCAAAGCTGTAGGTATAGCAAATGGTTCAGAACTAGTCAGAACTCAGAACTAGTCATGCTATGTGTAAAAACATTTCCAATGAATAAGCCTGGCAAACTCATTAAGGTGGCCTGGCTGACATGACTAGTGACCACTTCTACAACTGCCTTGACTTAAATGTCGCAGCAGACTAATCTGCAGAAATTATAACGTTTTGTTTGTTTTTAAACTATACTGGGCTACCATTTAGAGACTAATTACTGAACAGCTGATGCCTGACGTAGGTTAAAAATAATTTGAGAAATGCGCTCACCTCAGCAATATCTGTGATGATGGAACAGCTAAACACCCAGTCTATATTAATTGCTTGGTTTGCCAGAATGTCCTGCAAAAGAATGATTTATATAAACAAATTTGTATTCGTAATCTTTCAAGAAAAATCATAAAGTTAAATCGTAAACAAGTCGAATAATGCAATGAAACAAAACGAAAGTGATTAGATTTATTTTTAAGACATTTCTATGCAAAAATCAGTTTAGTCTTTACTTAAAGCAAATGTTTGATGAATTCTACGTTGTTTAGTGACTTTGTAAGCCATTTTTGATAATTTATCATGCTTTCTAGAATTACAAATGAGTTCTTATGCTCTCGAAGTTGTCTTGAATTTTGGTAAACTTTAAGTAAAAATAAATGCACTAAGAAATTTAAAGAGAGATAAACTTTGTGCATCTTTCTGAAGTCTACTGCTGTTGTGATGAATGTATTTAAACCCTAAAGCAATGTACAAATTATGAGTTGTTAATAAATCCGTTACATAGAACATCAGAATAAAAATAAAGTGTGTCTAATATCAAAAATATTTAAATGTTATGCTAAAAGTGTTCAAGTATAAATAGATCAACCTGAATTGAGAAACTGCCTTATGCCTCTCTTTTAGCCTGTCTGAAGTCGGCATCTATCTGAAGAACATCAGTCCGAGTCTGGACCTAGGAGTGGCAGAATGAAATAAATGATGGAGCCAAGAGCAAATGGTTGCTTCTGACCACTGTTGTTTAATCCTGGCCGATGTAGTTGAACTCGTAGAATTCCTGTCCAAAACGGTAAGCAACGGCTAAACATTTAACATGTTAAAATTAGATAAAATTGGAGTTCCTCTTAGAGTAAAACTGAAGTTGAATTTTAGTATAGTCAAGTGGATTGTTCTCTGTACTTTGAAGTTACTTTTCAAACGGGGACTCATTAAAGTTTTTAAGTTAAATACTATTGAGTTCTTATCTACATGAACCTAGAAATCTCATTTCCATCACAATAACTCGAGAGAGAAATCAGTGGCACCTAATAAGTAAAACGTACAGAGATAGAAGTGATTATAATAATCCAAACCCAAGCACTCTGAAATCTAACAGTGGGTGTCATAGGGTTCAAAATTGTACTTTTGATGGGAAAGTAAGCATAATTTAAGTAATAAATTTTAAAATAATGTGGAGCAGAAGAAAGGGATGATACGTCTAACTACTTCATAGTATTTTTGTCTCTTTGGTATCACTCACTTGTAATTAAGACAATAGTGCTACACCGACCCGAACATAAGATGCTACTAGTTCTATAAAGTAGACTTAGGAAATCCATATCCATCTTATATATGAAATTCAATATTCAAGAAACACATTTTTAAAATAATGTACAGCTTATCATTCGTTCTTTTGCATTAAAACACAAGTATGCTTGCTTACTTTTACAGGAAACATTTAGACCTTTTAGTTCTCTTCCTTGTAGAAGGCAGGCAGTAAAGCTCATATATGTGAAGCTGTCTAACATGCAAGGCTTTTTTCACGTGTTGTAAAATGCCGTCAAATATATGGTGCCATCTTTTGAGACTATTATACGTACTTCATTTACTACTCATCCATCACCGGCATTCGAAGCATGGATGTTTCAATCACAAGCTGGATTAAAAATTATTTACCCAACAAGAAGGCCACGAATTACAAAATCGGGTCCTCTAATTTTTGCAATGTAGTAGATGTCTCAGAATTTGAAATATACCTAAAAGTTTGAATACTTTGAGTACTATAAGAAGAGCTGGAGGCCTGCTTGCAAGTGGAGGCTCGGGCGTGTGCCCCGTTTGCCTTTTTTAAAATCAGGTCCTGGCAACAACAGCACGTACGAGAGAATGAGGTAATTCCTTACATGCCTTATATCGGATGAGTAGGATAACTAGTGATGCATACTATTGTCAACATGAAATATAAATCTGCAATAAAATCATCTATAAAACTAAGTTAAAGAGATGTATATATCGTTATTAATAATGTGAAGTTGTGTATAATATGCATTTTATAAAATTTCCCCCAAAAGGTTTGAATGTTGTGACTGTGAATCCACAAGCCAGAAAAATATTCAGATACATGTTGCGATAACGTGCCATTGCCAAATATATATAAGTCATTTGCACATGCAATAATATACTTCTTTAATGTTTGTGATATCGAAATGTCTTCTGCTTTCCCTGTTTCTTAAGACGGTATATTGATTTCATAGCTTTTAATGCTAAAATCTGTTTCGTTCAACTCAAAAACTTTGCATTCTCTCTGTGTGTTCTTCATCCAGATAGTGGCAGTGGAAAGTTAATTTTTGGTCACCTAATTCATAATCGTAATTTAAATTCATCGTCTGCTTTAATTAAGAACTTTAAAGTAATAATTTTATGATATTATTTATTTACGGCGTTTTGTTATGGAGAAAACCATCATTGCTATTATGAAACTTTTGAAAACCATCATTGCTATTATGAAACTTTTGAAAACCATCATTGCTATTATAAAAAACAGAAAACAAGCCTTCATTTCTTGATTATGAACATTTTAATTTATCTTGATTTTTAAATTCCTACACCATGCTTGATATGCTGCTTGTGTTTTGTAAGTCTGAGAGTAACATAAGAGTTTCGTCATATCATTTCATGGTGCAGTCGAAATATATACATAACTAATTGCTGATTTCTTACGTAATGCAGTTGCGATAACTTTTGAGTGTGATTAAAGTGCAGAATTCGGGGCATTTATGCATTCAAAAGGGATTTTTTCGTGACGTCTATACGTACGCACTTATGCATGTGTCTTGCATTGACCGGTCCAGCGTTGTTTTACTGGCTAACTGAAAATTGCAAGTAACTGAAAAAAATTTAATTTAAAACACAAACACTAAATAAAAGAATTACCTGACAATAATAAAAGGTAACATGAATTTATTCAGGGACAATGGGGAAAGTTATGTCCATGCAAAAGTCCGTCGAAGCTCGAACTAACAGTTGAATTCTCAATTTTGTTTTTTTAAATCGTCCACTACAGTGGCGCTGACAAAAAAAGAGACTGTTTTCTAGCGTTTAGTTACACAGTTGCTTTATCGTGTCAAGTTTTCATGATCTGCAAATATAAACCAGATGCACGTTCATTTAGTTTACGATAGCAGGCTTATTGCTTTATGCGGTATAAATATTAATTATACCTTTCTTAGAAACATCTTTCTTAAACTGGAATATTGAATTTCGAATTTGCGATTTTTGATGTCAATTTCAACTTGCCTTGAAAGATCGGGTTGTTAAGTTAGAATAATTCCAGGAAATAAGTTTAAATGAAATGCAGCAAAAAAATATGCTTAATTTAGTAGGACGTACAAGGAAATCATGTGATGACCACCCAATTTATGTTACTTTTTATTAGTTTTGTCAGGTAATTCTTTTATGTAGTGTTTGGGTTTTAAATTTAAATTTTGTCAGTTACTTACAATTTTCAGTTAGCCAGTGAAACAGCGCTACACCGGTCAATGCGAGTTTTTTTATACGTAACTTTTAAATACCTGTACTGTTCATAATTACTCTTCCAAGCGTGTTTCAGAAGGAAACTAATGTAGTAATATGTAATTCATAGAATGGATGTGTGGAATATATTAATATGCAACTGATTATAAGAAAGAAAGAAAGAAGCTCTTACAAATAAAGAACCTCTGGTAGCATAGTCGTAAACAATGGCAAAGTTTGGCTCCGTTATGCTGAGTCCTACGAATCTCAGAAGATTTTCATGGGTCATTTCTCGCATCTAAGAATGAAACGAAAAATTTATTATTATATCACTTTTCATTTGACAATGTTGATACTATTAGTTACATTTAAATTGTGATTCCATGGTTTAGATTACAATTTGTGCATTATACACCTAATTGTATTTTTACATGAACCATTTTTACATGAATTTGATTTAAAATTTAATCCTCCAGGGCACCCACAATCTCTGTAGAATTTATACCCGGAAGTCAATATTGTGTTTCTATCTTCCTGTTCTATACAACTCATACAGTCCATGGATAGAACAGTAATAGCTACGTTTAAAAGATATTATATGATGATAATAATGAATAAGGCATAAAGACAACTGGCAAGGAAAGTAGACCTAGGTTAAGAGATTGTTGGAAGGGATAATATATGAAACGCAATAAATAACATTGGAGAATCTTGGGTTGAAATAAAAGAGTCAACAATGAAAGGTTATTTAAACCAATTACGCTTCAAAACTAGAATGATTTTTTAAATTCTAAAGAAACTCCGCAAGAAATAAATAAATCTAGTTTTGAATACAAGGCTATTTTAATAATTCCTGACACTAAAGCAGCTACAAGCTTAGATCCTTTAAAAATAATTCACGAATGAAGTTTGGTTTTACTCCATCCGAAATCGGAAGCAGATTTAAGAATATTTTTAACGTTATCATTTATTGTTTGCTAGTGACCAAAGAAGCTTCAGGATATTATAAAGATAAAAAATTGTGTAATATCTTTCCTTGGTCAAGAAAAATTTTCAAGTATAAATATTCGTTTATTTTGTTTTATTAAAAGTCAAAAAATTGAAATTATGAAAATTTCTTGAAAAATTAATGCAATGCTTCTTATATCAGTTACATTAATAGTTATTTGTTATTTACCAAAACAGAAATTTTAATGCTTTTCATTTCTCAACTGTACATTATTATATGCGTCATTTTTCTGAATATGTAAAGCTATTATTAACTATTATTATAAGTGTTACGGTATAATTTGAGGAAGTACCTTTAATGCATATGAAAATGTACGACTTAAGTTAATTATTATTATTTATATTTTTTAATTGGTCGCATACTTAGTTCACTAGTGCGCGAATTTTAAATAACTTTTTCTGATTTGGGCCAAATTCCGCAAAAAATCAACTCAAAGATATTAAGTTTATATTACGTAGGCACAATATATCACTTAAAGAATAAAAAAAGTATTGTAGTCAAAAAAAAAAAAAAAAAAAAAAAAAAAAAAAGATAGTACGGAACGAAAAGAACAAGGCTTTATTGACAGAATGGCGTTTGTACAAAACACTCTCTGGCCGACAGGGAGAACAACAAACCAAACATATAGTAATATGATATTTTTAAAAACATATAGTAATATGATATTTTTTAAAACATATAGTAATATAATATTTAGTTTGAATGAAGTAACATATAGTAATGTGATATCTTTTAAAAAACAAAAAAAAAAAACATATAGTAATAGGATAAAACATATAGTAATATGTTTTAAAAACATATAGTAATATGATATTTTTTTTTATTTGAAATGCAAAGAATACGAACTAATTTAAGATCCAAGAGCAAGCTTCTAGACAGCTGAACCTTGTTAACATTTATATACTTAATAGAGACTTTCATGCCCTACGAAGAAAAATAGGATGTAAATTAATACCATTAATGGAATTATATTGTGCAAAAAATTTTTAACTTAATGCTTAATACAGCTACTTTTAAAACATTATACGGTGTAACCGCGATAAGTCAAAAATTTTAGGTTAAGTCGAATTAAATATCGAAATTCAGCAATCAGAATTATATTAACAATCTCAATAAGATAAATTTTCGATTAATGGAAAATATTTATGATCTGTTCAATTTCGACTTATGGGAGTTCTATTGTCTACATATAATAAAGCTAGACAACTCTAATTTTTTAAATTGCTTTACTATATCCGCTTGCTTATCGTACATTTCAGCATGTTGAGTAGGCAAATTTAATTACCATCGCAGTGTTTTTTATAATGTTGTTTGTTAACATCACGAAATTTCAGCAAGTGCTGAAAATGTTGCCTTCGTTGTGGAGCATATTGGAAACCATCTGCCATAATACTGTATTCGGAATTCTCTAAAATGCAATTGTTGTTGTTGGCTTCTAGGTTTTCCCTCTTCTCGAATTATTTATATACATTCCTTCGTTTAGATAGATGCCCAACTAAAAATTCCAAGGGCATTCATTCACAGCATTTCAGTTTAATCAGTGGCTTTTATTGATAGCTGAACATTCTAAACTATACATTCAGCGTGAAATGTCATTCAGTTTTTGCGTAATATGCAAACAGTTAATTTTTTAAATCAGGGTTTTCTGACTTTCATTACTTATATATAAAATATAATGAAAAAACACTTGTATTTGACACTGCGGACATTAAGATATTACAAAACTAATGAAATTATGAGAAAGTAATCATTAATGCACAAAGTCCACGTAATAAGGTTAATTGAATCAAATTAACAAGATTTTAGAGATTACAATAAAAAATATAAAGATACATGAGGGTATTTAAATTAGTATAACGTTTTTACCTTATATATAGCAACATGGCCACCAGTTGTAGATGGCACGGTACTTCCCCCATCTGAAGATTTTTTCTTTAAAATAAAAAAAGGGGATTATTTGTATATATCTTAGTGTAATTAATAAGAGAATTTTAATTGCGTTATCAATTTATCTATAAAAATTTTAATTTAATTGCACTTTGATTGAAAATTTATGTTAAATATTTAAATTGAAATCTAAAATTTAAAAAGTATACTGTTTAGAACTGAAGCAAATTGGTAACGAAAGCCACGAAAAGTAACTGCGTAGTACATAAAAATTTTTTAAAACTACAATTTTTTTTTTTCGGGGGGAGGGGCGGTAGAAGATATTTGTCCACATTTACATCCAAGCTAATACTATTAGGAAGTAAAATGTATTCCTCTCGCTTTCTTTAAAATAATTTGAATGATTAGTAATTAGATAGAAGCCTTAGACTTATCACGAAAAATTAAATTATTTGAAGAAAGAGTTAGTTTACATGTAGAGGTTGTAATTACATGACTTAATTAAATATATTATAAAAGTTAGATATATTACTGGATATTTTGAAAAATTGCTCATTAATTATTAAAATGCAACAAAAACAAAAGTAATAAAAGCCTTTACATTTACAAAACCTTAAAAATTAATTCAATTAAATTATATAAAATCGCCATTTGGATATAATTCATTAAAAATGATCTTAATTCAGTCACTGCAAGTTTGAACACATCTTTTAATCACCATAGGCTATCGCACATAGAAATCACATTATAGATTAGTGTTTAAGTACTAAACTGTTTTAAATCAATTTAATAGGGACGAAATTACAGTCAACCACTTTGAAATTTGTTTGAAGTTTGTTAATTTACTAAAGAATTTGCAATTATTATTTGGAGAAAGTTTATAATTTATTTTAATAATGTAAAAATTTTATAAACCATTGTTTTGCTGTGCATTTCTAAAATCGCTACATGTGAATAAACGAAACAGCTAAAGTGGAAAGTGTTGATAAAAAGTTACAACAGATGAAATTTAATTTTTTACAAACAAGGATATCGTTTACACAGATCCAAACTACGAATGTGCAGTTTTCTTTTTTTTTTCCGGGGGGGGGGTGTCCAATATGTGAAAATAGAAAGATATATATACTCTGATATTCGCATAAATTAATTATATATTGTTGCTTATCCTCACGTTAACGATACAGACTCACGAACAGTCATGAGTGAATTTGTACCTGTCATTGGTCAAGCGCTCACTTGTGCTTAATAAAAGACCTTGAGCACGCTTGTTAACTGAGCCACTCTGCCTAACTTTATTCCACTTTGATCGGGTTCATTGTAAGGAAGAGAATCTCAGGGGTTTAGGTGCATTCTCGAATCTCTCTTTTAAAAACGATTCTCAAGTATACTACTCTACAAAGATATTATATTCACAATCATCCATACCATCTTGAAATTTTGAACTTGAGCCTTTCGACCTGCAATCTGCCTTTGATTTTAATGATCTCATGGTGGCCGTATAATTTAAAAAATCATAAATCGATTTTTATCTCGTAAATGGATCATGGTTAAACTCAAAAGTACATTTGTCAAAGGAAACTAAAGGCCCGCAAAGGCCCGGGCCTGGAAGCGCCACGTTTTCCAAAATCAATTCCAGTTCCAAAATCATTCCATAATTTCTCTCAGTACTGTTTTTCTTTCAAAAAATAAAGAAAATGGTTGTCATTACAGGAACCTCAAAGAACCCACGCCTCATGTGGCATAAATTTTTTACCGGATAATTAATTTTCAGGCAGACTTTATCAATTATTGGAAAATATAAAATTCAGTATTATTCAGAAATTTCTCACAGTAGGCGTTGACTTGCTGTGGTGACTCTTCGCAAAACTAAGGCTGGAACCTAAATGACAAGAATCCAGTAACTCGAGATCCGTCCACTCGATTCGCCACCAAAGATCAGCCAGTTGCGTTTCTAGGATAATTTTCCTGAGGGAAAAAAATCATTAACTTCTTCAGATGTTCTAAAGAATGAAGAAAATTTAGATGATATAGAAGTAAATATTTAATTTTATGAAGAAATAACTCAAAATTATCTATTGCTGTTTATTATATTTCATAGCAATTTTTTCTTGGTATAAATTTACATACATCATGGCATACTTGGTAAAACGTTTAGAGATATGTCATGAAAAATCAAAAGTCTGAAGTTCTAGTAACAAAGCCACTAATTTGACAATGCTGATATTAATTAATTTTTATAAAAATAGTTGGGAAAAAAGAGATATAGTTCATGTCTACGCACGATTTCAATCGTCACTCTCTTTCTCTATTTTTACAGTCGTAGAAAGCAATGTCAAGCCGAAACCAATTGTTTCTTCACCAGAATATTTCATTATGAGAGCTGGATTCGGTAGTGACTAAAACACTGAAACCGTTAAAAGTCAAAGAATAAAATGATAAAAGATTAATAACTATAAAATTCATTAATCATATTTTCCACCTGGATTTGTATGGGCCAAAAATGAAATAGAAAATGCGTTAGTTTGGTTCGAAATCTTCTCATTCCGAATTTGTCTCTTTTATGACAACATTTTAAAATAAAATGTGAGTCTTTTTAAAATATACGTACTTAAGCTGTTTTTAACTTCTTCTGAGAGACTTTTATGGTATAAAAATCTTAATCAAGCATTTTCATATAGTGGTGCCATTTAAAGCGTCCGATAAAGCAAACCACGTTTGATTGTGGCAAACATTATCAGAAACCATTCGCTTGACAAAGGGTGCGGTTTCTAGAAAATTTTAAGTCATGGTCTGTAGTATTAAGAACGAACTCGCCTAGATTCTTCAGTTTGTCTCAGGTTTGTTAAACCTATGAATTGGTATAGCAGAATTACATGCTTTCGTACACTTACACGCTTTAAATGCACCGCTATATCAAAATGCTTGATTAAGATTTTTATACCATACAAGTCTCTCAAAAGAAGTTAAAAACAGCTTAAGTACATATATTTTAAAAAGACTCACGTTTTATTTTAAAATTTTGTCCAGGCTGCAATATTGTAAAGATATTTTTTTATTTTGCAAGCTTCTGAAAATTTCTAGTTGGATGTTTCGGATATTTTAATATGAAAGATTTACTTTTTTTACCAGAGTTTATTTTTTTTTTACATTGAATGGATCGTGTACTCAGATACAGTAAATAAATATGCGTGTATGTTCTCAGATAAAATATATTTTTGATCTCAGCATTAATATCCTTTTCCATAATGTGGCCTTTCCATCGGAATATTTTTAGAATTTCCTCTGTGGCAATGAAGTCGTTAAAAATCATCCTTACAAATATGTCTGCGATGTATTAATTACATCTGTAGCTTTATCAAATTGAAGCAATAAATAGCTGTTATGTAATTGTGCACTAATTACATTAATATTTTGTACTATTTTAAAAGAAACCGCTTCTCAATGGTGAGCTAACGAAAATGCTTTCTGCGTAATACTGGTAATTCAGTAACGTTGGCTTAAAGACGAAGTACTCTAAAATATTGAGCCAATATATGAACTTTTTCTTGGAGCCATTTCTTAGTCTAAGTTCTTCACTGAGATTTATAGGTGGAAAAAAATTGAAATCCTTATATTTTAATGCTTATTCTTTATTAGTAAACTAGCATCTAGCCTGTGTTTTGCCATTATCAATTAAGAAATCTATATAAATAAAAGAAAATCGTAAGATGAATACAAAACACACTTTTACATACTCACTTGTATGCAAAAAATCCAATTATGGATAACAAAACTGCCAGAGCAGCAATGATACAGATTACTATTCCTTCGAGAGGAAATTCGGCTGAAAATGGTAAATTACTTATATTAAACAAATTCTGTACTCTTATTAATAATATAAAAACTGATCTGAAATTGCATGTATGTTACTAAGGCATGTTTCAAATAAACATAAAACTTTCTACGAAAACAACATTTATCGCAAAATAAGCAATTTTATATACACAATTAAACTGACACAAAAGCTGCGTACTTACTTCAGCCTCAAGTTGATTATTTTAGGGGCTCTAAAATATTACCGATATGAATAAACATAACTAGTATGGTAAAAGAGTAAGATCAACAGTTTCTGGAAGAAAAGCTTTGCTTTGCTACTTGTTCTTTGTTGTGCTAATGGAACTCCACTAAGATATGAATGTTTCATTTCCCCCCCTCACATTATCATGCGGAGTATTCCGACTACCCCAGACTGACTCTTTCCCTCTAATAAATTTTATTTGAAGAGCTACATACTTGTGGTTTCATGATTTTGTCCTAAAATGGTTAAAATCGTATTCACACTTGTGACCGATGCAGTTCTTTTGTTATAGTTATTACAGTTATTGTTGATTACACTCTTACCGAAGAGCTCGGTAATGAGAGGGTTTAACGTTATAACATTTTACGAAATTAGTGTGTTTCATTTCTTGTATTTTGGGTACATTTATAATTAAAACTGTAAGCTATTTCTCACGCTTTCCTAACGGGGTGTAGTGGCTCTGCACGCTGGGCCAGTATTCCAGAGGTCCGTGGTTCGATTCCCGGCGAAGGTGGTTGCTAATTTTTCATCTCGCATCCTTCCCATTAACCCAATGTCTCTACAGTGGCGCTCGAACTAAAAGGGTGTTGGAGGAGGATTCTCCGCACCCAGGACTTGGCGATAGGGTTCCCTAAAAACCCCAATGGCTCTTTAAAAAGGGGAGTATGTAAGGTATTTCTCACGCTTTTCTAGAGTGCCTTCGTGGTGTAGTAGTTCTGCATGCTGGGTCGGTATTCTAGAGGTCCGTGGTTCGATTCCCGGCGAAGGTGGTTGCTAATTTTTTATCTCGCATGCTTCCAATTAACCTAATGTCTCTACAAAACTTTATATTTTTTATTTGGTGACATGTTTCTAGTGCTTTCATGATAACTGACAATTTTGAATGTAGCCCAGGCCTTAATAAAGTATTTTATGTGTTCCTCCAAAGCTCTATTTATTTAAAAAATATTATGAGTTGTGAGAACAAAAATACAAGTGTGTCCGTTTTAAGAAGTAATCTACTTTGGTAAATCTGACTTTAAAGTTTCTTGGCTTTTGCATGCTTTAAGCTATTTAGAAAATGTTTCTAAGCATTTGTTCCGTTTTCTTTTCGTTTTAAATCTCGGAAATGAATGAACGATTTCGAAGCTGTCCATCAATAAGGAATGGAATTTCGAAAGTACAAACAAAAATGTATAGAAGACTTAATGTGTTTTAAAAATAACTCGCTGCATTGTTCTTAAATTTCAATTCATTGTTGCAGTTTTACGCAATATTCCTGATACCACGGACTCGTATTATCGTACTTCAATACCATCGATGTCACTACAAAGGATGCCTCGGAATTAACTAGCCAGAAGTCCAGAAGACATTTTACAAACTAATACGGGCAAGAAATCGCGTACGAATATGCTGCAGAAAACGTATAGTTAACGAATTACAGACATTGAATTTCTGCGAAAACATGATGCGGAAAATAGTTATTTGAATTATGCAGAATTGGATGATGGTTGGTAGCAGGGTGGGTTAAGCATTGGGTTCTAAAAATATATCTAGTAAAGCCCTGATATTCAAATGTGTAACGCGACAAAAGAAAACCAGTTGCATTAAAACTCCTAGCATAAAAGCTTGCTGTTATAAAAGGAGCTCTTACGATTAGGACAGCTTTCTAAGAAGCAGTGTTGTCAATTAATAGCAAATTTTCCATCCAACATGGAATATTCAGACTTGGATTTCATTTACAGGTGGGCAAATGCAAATTTAGGGCTGCAGAGAACTTGCATCGGGAAACATATTATTATCAATGATTCTCCGAGAATCCACATTTCAAAGGCTAGACCGACACTAGTTCCTTCGGAATTCTAGAGCAGGTGGTAGATGAATGCCACTACCATGATATGTAAAACTAATGCTTCAGATAAAGAACTAATAATTCCATTCCGCGAGAATCTGTAAGGGATCTATTTGAGGAAACGAACTGCACTTCTACTGCGTAGCATTGTGTGCAGTCATTAGCATTAGCTGATTATACAGTGCGGAGAATATTTATTCAATGGATATTGAAGAAAATGATCAAACATTTTCCCAGTTATCTCTGGCGAGATGTTTACAGAGGAAGTGCAATTACAGACCAATGGTACTATTAACTTTCATGTAATCTGGTCATTTATTTAATCTGGTCGACGCTAAATATTTATGCCATCGTCTAGAGTCAAATGAAGCACCTGAATGTGTAATATGGCTGCTTCCCGCATAAAGCAAGATTTTTCATTGATACTGGATGTTGTGCTCTCGCGTAACCTTTCTATGCCCTCCGATTCAAATCTGTTGGATAATTTTCCGGAAACATCCGAAAAGTGAAACATCTGTTCCTTTTGTTACTGCACCTGACGAGCTTCGGCAATAGAATGAGAATTCTGTCTTATGTATTCGTAATATCTCTGAACTTCCTGAACATGCCCGCCAGTTCGCGTGACGAAGTCGTGCCGTGTGACTTGAGTGTTAGTCAGTGGCTCACATTTTGAACATTTTCTCTAATGTTCATGTACATAAATTTTCTGTTTTTTTCTTTGTGTTGATTTTTTAATATTAAAAATTTGGATGCTGGAGAGGCATCAATATCTTTGCTCCGTAATTTGCAAGTAATGCATTTTCCTTTTGTATATTCTCAAGGTTTCTTTGGTTTATGCTAACCCATGGAATGCTCTTCGGGTGCTTGGTGACTTCATTCTTTGATCCTTTTGCATTACACCATTGTATGCTTAAATTCTGATTATAACTCTAGAAACCTTTACAACAAACGTTTAGCACTAATAGTGTTAAACTTGGGTGAAAGCTTTTGCGTTAGGACTTATTTCTCTCTTTTTATTGAAAATTTCGAAAAATGATGCTCTAAATTTCCCGTGGATGAATGAAAGGATATTTTAGTAAATAATTCTACTTCCATGAGATCTTTCCTTTTATTTTCTTCCTTCAAATTCTGCTGAGGGCTACCTATTTAAGAAAACTTCGGCTTACGTAAACTTTGGTTGGCATGATGCTTCCCTGGAAAGAAACTGCACTTAACGTGAAATCTCAGTAAAGCACCGAAAGCACACTTTAAAAGAACAGCCTATCAAATTATTGTATTAATGATAAGTTAATTTTTATTTTTTTCACGTTGTTTTCTGATCATTTCTGACCAACCAAGATTTTGCTGTTTTGACATAAAAATAGTCTAATTAATTTTTTTAATTCCATTTTAATCTCATTATTTAGTTTATTTACATTTTTAATAATACTTTTGATCGTACAATTGGCTTTGTTTCAAATTTTAACGGTTTCGTGATACTTCTCAATGGCAACAAAATTATTGGTAAAATGTCTGCTAATTGCTCATTGCTCAAGGTTTCTTTTAGCAATTTCATTCTCTTCTTTAAATAATAAAACTGGAGATATTTATATATCTCAAGCGCCTTCGTATAAAGTATAGCAAGGAAATAAAACCCTTGTTTGGTTGATGGCTAAGATGCTACACAAGGCCAGGGGTTAAAGATTTTATGTTATGTATATGCTAGAAATAAATTCGACCAAAGGTGACAGTCATTCAACATTTTTCACACAAGATATTTGTACTTTAAAGTGAAATTAATCTTATTAGAAGACTTCATGATTCTTTCATAGACCTTTAGAAATGAGTCATTTATTTAATCTGATGTTTACCAAATCGCCTAAACCAGATCTTTTCGTAATAACATTAAATTATACATTAAAAAGGTGTTTAAATATGTTGAAATTCAGTATCACAGGAATATATGTAACTGTTGAACAAATGGAATGGTAACTGAAAATCTTACTTCTAGGAAGACATTCCGGGGCATTTCCTGCAAAGCCACACACTGGTATGTCTAAGGGAGGGCCGTGTTTTCCTGGCCAGTTGATTTCCGCATTTTCTATTTTATCATAAACCTTTCGCGCTCCAAAGTAGGTGGCAACGGGCTATAAAATATAATTATGTAGCGATTTGTTAAAAATATAAAAATATCACATTATCATATAGTTTAGCATTTAAGAACACAAACGATTCAGACAAATGCATTGTTTCTAAGCTTTGCATAGGGCGTAACGAATATTTTGATTGATATTGCAAAATGGATATCATGCATCAACGTGAGAGAGATGATGAAAGCATTCTTTTGAAAATAAGCTGTCATTTCTTTTGTTCAACATGGACATTTGAATTGTTGAGCTATTGAAACTGATTTCAAGAATTATGTCAAGAGTTTTTGTTCTGCAGTTCCATCATCTACAGTTTTAAAAATAAATTTTTACAGTTTTTGTTGGGGAAAAGAGATATCTAAAATAAGAAAATTTCCCAAGGATGTTATGTTGTAAGATCTATTCTTCTTTGCTATCATACGCTGTAATGAAATCACTCAAAGGCTTATTCTCAATGTAAATGGCACAACCTAAACACACAAAGTTACGGGGCATACTAGTGTTTTCGGTTGTCCCCTTCGATCGCGCCCAACTACATCCTTACTCTCATGTAGTGAGCATTTATTGGCTCCTCTTTGAGCTCGTCTTACTACCACTTTTCCCCCCTCTCAGTCACTTTTCCTTGTTACTCCTCCATCCCTATGCCTATGACGATGATAGATGAGACACTGCACCTGTACCGTTATATTATAGTACGCCACCCTAGTTGAAGTACCCGACGTTGTCCGAGCTTTATGCAAGGTGAAGGGGCTTCATTTAGCGAGCTGGAGGTAGTTATTTTGAAATCTCAATTAGACAGTGAATTTTCTCTTATTTTGCTTGAAGGTGAATTGTGCAAAATTTTACCAAGCTCTAATAAAACTATAGAATAACACGGTGCTATGTAACAGTTTTAGTAAGAACTGATACTTGCTTTATTACCGGTTATGTGTATTTTGGAAATGAGCTTTCGGAAAATTACTTTGCCCAATTTCTTTGAAGTATTTGCAAAATCTCTGTCTGAAAAACTCTATGCTATTCCAAAGAGTAAACGAACACGGCTCCATCTAATGGTTTTGGTAAAAACTTATACAGCAACAACGGCAACATGAACCTAAAATGGGTGACGTGAGCACAACGCAAACACCCTGAATGTGAATTCCGTGGGGTTGCTTTCACCCCGCGGAAATCTCACTAAAATCTTATGCAGTCCTTCCACTTGAACGTCAAGTATTCAAAATTTCACCAAGATTAGAATGAAACTGTAAATTTGAACGAATTAATAGTATACAAACCAAACAAATAGACACTTTTCTTCATTTATTTATATACATACTGGTAGGAAAGTCCGCCAAATGAGCGGGCGTTTCAAGCAAACAACTAATTCGTAAATAAAGTTTTGTTGCCAAATTAGCATTTTCAGAGTTTTTAATTAATATCTCGGTTTATTAAAATCCTATGGAGATGAGAATGGTTTAAATGGCTTCTCAAGAATATTTTGGAATCCGGGGGAATTTTGAAATCTTCCCTCGAAACTCAATTCCTCGCCGTTCCGGCGGAGATGATATTACAAGCAAACAACCAGACAGATACACACAGATTTTAATAGCGAGCGGACAAGCCTGCTGCAGGAACGGACTGCTACTAAAACAAAATTTATAAGTTCTAACTACATCTGAAAAGAAAATGCATAAAAACATTTCAGTAGGAATAAAATGAGTTCATTCATTCCAAGCAACAACCAATTCGTAAATAATTTTTTGTGGACAAACCAAAAAAAAAAAAAAAAAAAAAAGCGTTTTACACTGCAGATTAATACGTATGACGTCATGATTTAAATTTAATGTAATATAACAACTTTTTTCGAATATTAATTAAAGAATTATCGTGGCAAAAACATATTGTATCAGTTAACCTAAATTGAAGCAAAAAGCTTGCCAACAGCAGCTATTTATTTAAAATGCTGATATTAACGAAATATTTTCGACATACAATAACTTCACATTCAATAGCGTGCTTTCTTCAACGTCAGAATATGACCGTATATAATAATAATATGTTTAATATTTGGCAATGCTAATTTAATTTCATATTTTGTAAAAATTAAATATTTTTATAAACAAACTCTACAAATTGAAAGCGAGTAGTGGTAACCCTTTCCGAAATAAAGTACTTTTATCTCCGGCGCGTGCGACTGTTGCCACTCGGAAAACTGAGTGCGAAAATTAAGGTTTTCAAAGTTTTTAATCAATCGACTGATTAAAGTCTACGAAGATGAGAATGCTTCCTATGAATTTTTGGAATCCGAGGGTACAACTCTCTCTCAACGCAGCTCCCCGCCATTTTGGAGAAAGATTATATCACAAACAAACAGACGTGCACAGATTTTAATAGTACAGATCAGATATTGTTGCCTTCTACAGGTTCGTGGATTTGGAGTAGTTGTGTGATGATAACCCTTGATGACGAATCAAAATGCAATTAATTTTGCAGTAAGCACTATTATACGGGGCAGTTCCAAAAACACGTTTACACTCGTCGAACAACTAAAACAAACACGCTGAAACAATCAGCAACACAATTCTCAGGTTATAACGAGAAATACAGCTTCACGGCAAGACACTAAAGTACAGCTCTCAACTCGATCGATTGCTCTCAAGCTATTTCTAAACACAAGACGCACTACTCCGCGTAGGCAGAGTATATGTAACTTTAACCTACTTTCGAGAATATTCCCGAGAAAACCGCTAAGGATGCATTCTAGAATATTCTCGCTCTGTCTATGGCATATCGCCAATTTTGTAGCCAAATATAATCAAATGGGCGATTTCGCGTTAAATGCGGAAGCTCTGCCATTTCTGGTAACCCTAGCACCGCTTTGCGAATAAGCTATTTAACCACTCAGCCGATGGGCATTTCGTAGCAATATGATTTGACTGAATCCAGCTAGTGTAATTTCACGGGTACAGCTAGTAATTAATAATGATTGAAATGAATCTGCGTTTAGTGCTTTTAAATCGTTTTGTTTGTTTAGTGACAGAATAAATTTGAAAGAAAAATTTAGCATCTTACACTTTGCTGAACGATAAGACATTGCTGCATGAAAGATAAAAATATTCTAATTCTGCGAGGAATAATATATTTCAAATTGCTGAGTTGTCGGAATAAATTCGAGATACAAATATATTGTGATTCTCAACCATGGACCTTATAAGAGATAGACTAACCCAGTGGGCGGGGCGCGCGTCACCGACATGTCGGCAAGAAAGAGTAGGGACGATCTGGTTTACTTTAACACTGAAAACTATGGAGTTGGTATCACATATCTCTTTTTAATTATTAAATGTGATATGTTGTGTAGTGATGAGATTATGAAGTATATCTATAGTAAAACAGCGCAAAATCCCGCTTCGAAACTAACAGTCTTTCTAGGCTACCGCTCCTTTGAGCTAATAAATTAAATTAACAATAAATTTAAAAAAATTTATGCAGGACTAAAAATAAATTTAAAAAAATCACTATAAAATACAAGCAAAATTAATTATTACGGTTAAATACAATTTTAATATTAGAATTAAATGTATAAAAAATTTTAAATTTATAGTCAAAAGTGTTTATCATTATTTATGAAATATGAATATGTAATAAATTCCTTTATAGAAATTGTCTATAATACTCATCTATAAATTTAAAAAAGCAACACAATTAGAATTTAAACAAAACTTTCAAAAATTCATTTTTAAATATTTAGTATTTTTTACTTATTTACACCAATAATAAGCATAAAAATTGCAAGAGAAAATTGCTGTTTGAAATTTTCTATTAGTTCAGATTTCAAATATTATTTTCTAAAGAAAGTAGTTACAAATTTTCGTACAGCATAGGAAAAGCTAAAAAAAAAATATCCAGCCCTGAAAGCATGCAATATCTTTATATTTATTTGGAACGTTAATTATGCTTGATAACTATGCTAAATTTTTAAAAATCAATCTCAGTTTCAAAAATAAAAATATGGAGAAATTCTAATTTGTGAAATGAGGCGCTACAACCAGCTTTTTCTTGACAATTATGCACGCTGCAATAGGCAACCACTGTTAAATTACTGCAAGTCGTCCCTACTCCTCCGGATGTGATCAAGGTGACAGCCGGGGAGAGATCCCATTTGGGTTAGTCTATTTCTTATAAGGTCCATGTTCTCAACACACTACTTCTATATCAGCGACTTTTGTGATTTAATTTAAAACATAAATATCTTACGCTTCTCAGAGTGGCAATACAAAGCTTTACTGATGACCAAAGATGCACATCTTTAACACGTTCTATTACAGAATCTCCATTATAAGCGCATTTCATGTGTCCGCATATATGCGAGAAAGAATCAGTCTTAATGATGCTGAATATCAAATTAAAACTTAAAGTTGATGTTTCTTTCTACATCTGAGAACAAACTTTAATGAGAGATGATCTTAATATGACACAGTGCATATTTTCCCAAAAGTCTATGATAAATTTCCTCGAATAAGAGGTGTGCCGGAAGCTCTTTGAATGCAAATTTTTCTTTTATACTATTTAGCATGGTCTAAGTGTAGAATTTAATTCAATCAATATTCAACAGCATTATTTTTGTGGAAGTCAAGGGAAGATTTTTTAATGTCTAAATTCTAAGACAACTTCTAAATTCTAAGATTAAGTCTGAGTGTAAATACATCTATTTGATTTCAAAAGAAAGAATAAAAAGAAAACTTACCACCATAATACCAGTATAGGGATCCATGTCATTTAAAGTATAGTCAGCCTCACGATCTCCATTTTCATTAATAACTATGTCTCCCGTTAGCCCTGCGAAAGATTAAACAATTTAAACACTCATACAATATACGTACATACTATTTATAAAAAGCTGTTAAATGTTTGTTTCATTACGAATTAGGTTTGCTTATGTTCATTAGCTATCTATTAATCTTCTATGTTACAGGCTGATAGAATTTAAAATTTACTTGCAGTAAAACAGAAATCTTAAGACATGAACACAGGGAAAAAATTATCTTTTTGCGAATGCATTCAGTTCGATAGATACTCAGGAGCAGTGGCGTAGCAAACATAACTGGCGCCCGGGGCAAAAAATCTTTTTGGCGCCCCCCACAAAAAACTTTCAGTAATATAATGTATAGAACATATTCGTAATATGAAAATAATGCAAATAATAATAAAATGCTGAATCTGCCATAAAATACTCAAAAATATATTAAGAATAGTCACTACCTAACTACACTAGCCTTGGATTCGGAAATGCATCTGTGTCGGCGGAAAAAATCAGACATACGATGATCTAGAATTAGTTAAAAAGGTGTTATTTATTTTACATATTTATATAAGTGTTTTTAAAAAGTACAATTTTTAAACAATTAAAAGTTTAATATACATTATAGATAAATAGATATGTGGCAACTTGCCTACTACAACTCAACTCGGCCAGTCTGGTAACCCATAGCAACCAAAAATAAAATGATATTTATTCTATTCAATTTGTTATTATTATTTAACGATCTGTCTCAAATAATTGTACTACCATAATTGGTGACCCGTATTTATTACATGAATAGCAACCTTCAATGTTGCACAAATATGGTGTTTATATGTCAAAATTCTGAGCAACAGTAAGTTATCCAGTGTTTGATGATGATGAGATGCAAGTAAGACATTTCACCTGTAATTTCAAGCGTTGTGCCCCATTCGAGTGAGTCAACATATTTCTGTCATAATTTCAACGGATATATGTATCGTCTGCTGCATTTGAACCGCCAATTTTTCTGATTTCAAGTACCAAAAAACTGTGTCACTATATACATATTGATTATTTTTCTATACATATTATTATTGAGCATATTTGATTGATCTAAAGTGGTTGAAAACGATGCTGCTTCACAAATGGCGAGAGTGGTTGTTAAGCCACCTCCTTTTTGTCGCCGAGACCCATTGTTATGGTTCATTCAATTGGATGCGCAGTTTAAATTGAGTCACATTACTGCCGACGAAACTCAATTTTATACTGCCATCGCCGCGTTAGAATCAGAGGTACTGCAATCAGCTCGTGAAATAATTTTGAATCCACCGGCGATGGACAAATACAAAACTTTAAAAAAAAATATTTGTGTTTATGAAGAATCCAAGGCAGTTAAAATCAAGCAGCTGTTGCACGATTTAGAGTTGGGTGATATGAGGCCTTCTCAATTGCTGTCTAAAATGTCAGACTTAGCCGCCAGTAACCTAACGGATAGCATTCTTAAAACATTATGGATGAATAGACTCCCATCTAACATGCAAACGATTTTAGCGGCCAGTAGCGAGCCACTTAAAAATCTTCTCGAAATCACTGATAAAATTCACGAGCTAGCCATTCCAGCGCAAATACACGCAGCGCAGGCTCCTGGTCCAGGTATTGTGGCGTTACAGGCTCAAATTGATGATTTGTCCAAACAGGTTGCTCAGTTAGTAGCCATCCAAGCTGAACATTTTCAGCGCAACCGCTCATCATCACGTGGTCGAAATACACGTTATGAAACCACTGAGGAAACGTTATGAAAGCCCTCCTCCGGGTATTTGTTTTTACCACCGCAAATTTGGAAACAAGGCAAACAAATGCCGCCCACCGTGTCGTTATAACGACCAGGGAAACGAGAAGGACCGTTGCTCGAAGTCGTGAACGACAGCGGACGGAATTTTGCACGCCGTTTCGTCATCGAAAATAATTCGGGCTTAAGGTTTCTTGTAGACACCGGGGCTGATGTTTCTGTCGTTCCACCACATTTTTACGAACAAAAGCATCTTACCAAGTTACAATTCAAACTTTTGGTGAACGCCTGATATCTGTCGATTTAGGATTGCGCCGCAACTTCCAATGGCCATTCATTATTGCTATTGTTTCAAGTCCTATTATTGTAGCTGACTTTTTACAAAAATTTTCTTTGCTTGTCAATCTTAAGAATCACCGTTTGATAGATTCCACAACCAACTTAACTTATCCGGGAGTAATTCGCAACAGTCAAGATTTGAGCATTAAAGTGATTTCGGGTAACTCCCCATGGCATGAACTTCTCAGAGAATTCTCTACAATCACGCGCCCAGTTATGGGTATTTCCGAACCTAAGCACAATGTACTACATTATATTGAAACTAACGGACCTCCAATTGCCGCTAAAGCAAGACGCTTACCTTCGGACAAGCTTAAAGCCGCCAAAGAGGAATTTCAATACATGATGGAACAGGGAATTTGCCATCCTTCAGAATGTTCATGGGCCAGTCCGCTCCATCTAGTTCGGAAACGAAATGGTAAGTGGCGATTATCGCCGGTTAAATGCGGCTACAATTCCTGATCGTTACCCAGTCCCGCACATTCAAGACTGTATGCAAATTTTAGAGGGAAAAACTATTTTTACAACCCTTGATCTTGAGCGGGCGTATCACCAAGTGCCCGTTAATACAGCTGATATTCCAAAAACTGCGGTTATTACGCCTTTTGGAATATTTGAGTTTCGGATTATGCAGTGCTGCTCAAACGTTCTAACGCTTCATGAATCAGGTGTTAATCGGCCTCGACTTTTGTGTATCTTATTTTAATGACGTCTTAATCGCCTCCTCTTCAGAGCAAGAACACCTATCACATTTGAGAAACAGTTTTTGAACGTTTTCAAAGGTACGGTGTCAGTCTTAATCCTTCCAAATGCGTTTTTTGGCCCAACCAAGTGTATCCTTTCTTGGTCATGAAATTTCCGCCGATGGCGTTCGACCCTTCCAGATAGAGTCACCGCTATCCACGATATGCCCGAACCATCTACAGTGAAGGACTTAAGAAGATTTCTTGCTATGCTCAATTTTTATCGACGTTTTCTTACCTCATGCAGCAACCATACAAGCATCTCTAAATTCTTTTTTGGTTGGAAGCAAGAAAAAACGATAAACGTGTTATAACCTGGACCAGAGAATCTCGCGCGAAGCGTTCCAAAAATGCAAAGAATGATTTAATTTCGGCAACAAATTTGTAGTATCCTTCCGTATTTAAGCCATTATCACTCTACGTTTATAAGGTATTTCTCCCGCTTTCCTAGCGTGCCTTCGTGGTGTAGTGGGTCTGCACGCTGGGCCGGTACTCCAGAGGTCCGCGGTTCGATTCCCGGCGAAGACGGTTGCTAATTTTTCAATCTCTCTTGCTTCTAAGTATCCTAATGTCTCTACAGTGGCGCCCGAACTAAAAGGGGTGTTGGATGAGGATTCTGCACACCCAGAATTTGGCAATTGGGTCCCCTAAAACCCCAGTCGCCCTTTAAAAAGGAGAGTATATAAGGTATTTCTCCCGCTTTCCTAGCGTGCCTTCGTGGTGTAGTGGTTCTGCAGGCTGGGCCGCCGGTACTCCAGAGGTCCGCTGCTCGATTCCCGGCGAAGGCGTTGCATATTTTTCATCTCTTCTGCTTCCAAAAAAATAACCTAATATTTCTACACGTTTACGCATCAACAACAGGTATAGAAGCAGTTTTACAACAGAACGATCAAGAATTATGGAGACCACTTTCATATTTTTCTAAAAAACTCTGACCAGCACAAACCAGATACAGCACTTACGATCGCGAGTTATTAGGAACTTATGAAGCTGTCAAATATTTTTGACATATGCTAGAGGGACGCGTTTTCATGATCTTCACGGATCAAAACCCCTTAACGTATGCTTTTCAACAGCGTTCGGATAAAGCTTCTCCTGGTCAAATGAGACACCTAGACTTCATAGGGCAATTTTCAACAGATATCCGTTATATTGAGGGTTCGCAGAATGTTGCAGACACCTTGTCTCCTATTGAAGAACTAGCCGTTCCTTCGCCAATTAAACTTTGCTGCCCTTGCGGATAAGCAACACCGGGATTCAGAACTACAAACCTCTTTCGAAAAGCAAATCTTCCACCAATCTCAACTTGCAGCCTATGCAGCTGTCACCTGAAAAATCACTTTATTGTAATGTTCAGGATTCAAGATTTCAACCTTATGTTCCCTCCGGGTTTCGCCATGCCATTTTTAGTCAGTTACATCGTCTGTCACATCCTGGCATCAAGGCTTCGAGGAAACTGATACAGCAACGTTTCGTATGGCCTAGCATGCGAAAGGACATAGCCAACTGGACATGAGTGCCAAAGATCTAAAATTGTCAGACACACCACCAGCCAACTTAAAAAGTTTTACTTCCCCTCATCTCGCTTCAATCACGTGCACCTCGACTTGGTCGGAAACTTATATTTATTAATAATAATATAATACATGAATACAATTAATTACTATGTATACATTTTTCTTACCTTGGATGAAGCAAATTTATCATTTACTTCATCGAAGTCGATCCTTTCAACTTTTTCTCTTTGCACACTTAAAAATGCTAGATAACTTAGGGGATCTTGTCCCATCGTTGATTGTAAATATGTGAAAATTTATTTTAATTTGCTGAACGAACATTTATAGCTAGCATTTGATAATGAAATAGTAAGGAGTATTTGAAGTGCGACTCTTAGGTTTTGAAAAAACATTTTCTCCATAGATCTGTAGTGGACTTTTAGGTTCCGTTTCTTTTCTACTGCGGAGTAACGTCATGCAGTCACATTCACTGCTCAAAACAATTAGGGGATATTGTGGGTTCGGTATGAAATAACCATATAATCGACAACCTTTTTGAACAAAAGGAAATAGAAGAGATTATAAAGGAAAATTATAACGTTTACAAAGTTGGCGAATATGCAAATTTAGTCTGTGACGTCGAAAACTATGCGTTTTAGATAAGGAGTAAGGAGCCACTTGCAGTATTC